TATATGCAACAAATATCACAGTGGCACATTTCAATTTAGACAAACATTCAACTAGCTGTGTGTGCAACAACTATCACAGTGGCACATTTCAATTCAGACTAACATTCAACCAGCGATGTCCAAGAAGCAGTTTAGGATGTTTGTTTGTCTCAAACTATATACATTGATTCATGAKCATTTCCCCATTCGATGAGAGGCACTGACTTTTTCTGCAGGCACGAGCTGATTAGGTAGTGATGGGAGGGACTAGGGATTGAAAGGTTGAGAGAGAAGAGGAAAGGGAAAACAACATACAAACAGACGATCTGTATCAGCGACCAGTATGTAATCTCTCCGTAGATGTTGGTATCCGGGCTGCGTACTTGGATGTTTCGGGAAGCCACAGGTGCTAAGAGACATGATGATGAGCAAAACATCTGCTATTGGGCATGTTGTGATATGTTTGCTCCTCGCAGAAGATCTAGACATAGCCAGCTCTTAAGAGTTGATCAATGATAATTGGATAATGTATGGTTGCAAGTATCCTACAGATCTATCCGAATCCTCCTACAGATTCTGTTAGTCAGGGACATCTGCTTTGAAGCCTGAATCTTCACTGGGACCGGCTACACAAGAGTTCTTATATTCCTCCATCCTCCTGTTTTCTACACGTACGACAACAGTTTCATCTTAATTGAACAACCCAACACAATTCTAAGATTCTATCTTTTTACCTCATTAAATAAATCATCAAAATGTATAATCCAGAACACCCTATCTGCAAAAAATGTGGTGCTGTGGGACAGCACATTACTTCGAGATGTCCAAATCGTCCTTGCGCGTACTGTCGTGAGGAGGGACATACCATAGATGAGTGCCCTACCTGTCCTGTCTGTCAAACCTGCCATCAGAAAGGCCATAAACCCGATTGCCCCGAGAGAAGGAATCTCTATCAGGAAACAGTTTTACCGCAAAGGCATCGAGGTGCAGCGCCCATTGTTTCAGCGAATCCTCAACCGCGTGAGTCTCAGAGCTCAAAGACAGGCATTCGAACTTCCACGCCGCAGAAAACCCCGTCACAGCCAGCGGATTTTTCGACTAATTATAGACTGCCAACGTCCGATTCACGAGCGGCAGTGGGACAGGAAGATGATTCAGTAAGGCTACCAAAATCCCCATTTAATATGACGCTAAGAACTTTCAGAATGCCTACCTCATCACACCAAACGTCACATTCCCAGATCTCGAACTAACACTCGGTATCGTCATGGACTATCTAGTGAAGCAAGGCGATGGCAATATGAGGCACGTCCCGTACGGAAATGTCATCAATTCCGTGGGAAAAGAGGAGCTTATCGAAGCTCTCCTCAATGGTATCTGTCCAGAAATCAGGGAACTGAAAGGGAAGAAGATAACCGCTAAAGAGTATGTACTGCCACTATTATAGCATAAATTAATCTTACAAATGATCTGACCTGATTAGACTCGAAGGCATTCGTGAGAAACAGCTCACCGATGGAGCAGACCCGTGGCGAAACAACAGTGGCTATCTAGACTTTGTCCTCGACGATCGAAACCCAGATTACTGGCGCGCTTATGTTGGCCAGTCCAACAATCCTATGCTGAGGATAAGCCAACATATCAGAAATATACGTGACCGTAAGCGTGACAGCTTACATTACTATATCATATGGAAGGGGGGCCACTTCAGATCGGCAAATTTCATCCGGCTATGGTCAATACCATATATCGCCATTGATTCACCAGAGATTCAGCTTATTGCCCAGAATATTCTTGAAGTAGGCATGTGCTATGCTTTTCACTCCCTCCCTCCAGCAACCCTAGAAAGAATTTTTGGACTAGTGGTGGACAACCCTTACAAAGGCATGGGACTCAATGTTGTCTCACCACTGCTTCAAGGATCAAATCTACGAGTAGAGGCACGCCATCATTTCTCTCGGCAAGTAGCTGCCTCCTCAGACCCTGAAATCCGGAATTGGCCAGCATTTCGGGCAAAGGAGAGAGCGAAGGAGGAAGAAAACGAGAAAGAAGGCAGAGCCTTCAGAAAACCACCAAAGCAGATGATGAAACTTGAGGACATCAATCATGCCCTTGCTTCTGTTATTGCAGCAAAACCTGAACTCTCACATCTTCAACCTCCCGATTTCAAGGAACGTGCACCGCGAGAGACTCGTGACAATCAACAAGTTGATCTAAGACGGATGAAAGCGATCACTGCTGTCAAAGTCTACAACGACCTTGAACTTGATGAGATTCCTGCCATGATACCGCCAAATGGGAATGTCAATGCACATATTGGTATAGTGCTTGATCATATCCTACCAGGGAGGAATAAAGAGGACTCCATCTTTAGTCTACTTCCTTGGGGTATTAAGGAAAGTGGATTTAACCAAGCGAATTGCTTGATTTGGGTTCACAACTTGCGCTTATATGATGTCTCTTCCTTGTTGCGGGAGAGAATCAGATCCATAAGTGCAAAAGAGTTTGAAATTCTCCGCAAGTTTAACCATGAACTCATCAAAGAGAGCCAGCTGAAAGTGATCATCATGTGTGGATCCTTTGATAAGACTATTCTGGTACCCGAGGATGCCCCCAAAGTTTCAGTCAATCTTGAAGGATTCAGCTTTGATATGTTTCTTGAGCATGATGGGCAATGTGTCACCAGGATTTATGCCTGCTCACCTCCTGCATTGCCGGCCCTTCTAGAGGATAAATGGCGGGAAGCTCGAAAGATTAGCCTCTTATTCAGATTTGCAGCACTCATCACAGGAACACCAGGAATCTGGCCGGGATTCCAGAATGCAGCAATTACATGCACTCAGATAGTCCGACTGGCTTATGACGACGGAATTGCAAGGGCAGAAGGACGGCCAGCGACTACCGTCGACTCCCTCAGCCCCAGCCTTCGGTTTTGGCTTGCGACGAAAGGTTTTCAGAAGGACGAAGATATTCTTCGCCTTCAAGCAAAATCAAGCCTGGCTGACGCCCTTTTGATGGTCATGTGTTTACTTCAATGCCGGCCGAGCGACATAAAGGGAACTTTTCGGAAGAAAGCAGTGACTGCGAGTACGACTAGAAGAAGGGAAATATACACCAAAGAGCAGCTTGACCACGTAAAGAGTTTACTTGTCGAGCTTAACCCGAAATGGTTCCCAGATCATACGTATAGGAAGAAGATGCAATATACAGGCAAATACGAGATCGAAGCCGACAATCCGAATGCCCATCTCGATGCGGCCAAGGCGACCAAGGCGACCGAAGACGCACAATTGGAAGAGGTAAATCCTCTCGACGAACCCCTTTCTGATGGCCCACAGGAAGACGCTTCCACCAAAGCTGCCAAAGGAGCCACGGTCAAGCAAGTGTTGCAAGCCGAGATGGACCTCGACGAAGACCCTGATGTCATCTCCGAGGAAATTGTGACTGATGACCCCAATGGTTACCTCGAGTTGACTGAGGATCAATTGGAAGAAGCAGTAAAACCTATCAACCAAGTCCTGTCCGATGATCCACAGGGAGACGCCGCCACCAAAGCTGCCAAAGAAGCCAAGGTCAAGCGAGTGCTGCAAGTAGAGACGGATCTCGCTGAAGACCCAGATGCCCTCCTTGAGATGGACGACGAGACTTTGGAAAAGGCCAGGGAAATCTCATACGGTGTCCCCTTTCAAGTTCTCTCGCAAAAGCGTCCTCCTGCAGATAAGGAACTTGTCCCGGTATACACCACAAGAATGGAACTACTCCACGGCGGCCGCCTCTATAAAGGCCGCAAGAGATACAGAAACACGTTTACTGCTACGTTGCCCATGGGTGTTGTCGCAGCTATTAAAGCTCAGCCTGGAGAGCGGGATGCAAAACACGATCTGCTAGTTCGGGCGGAGCTTAAACCGCCTGGTGAAAGACACCCCAATCTCTGGGCCACACAGGCTCTACCTAGTGATCCAGGTGCCCGTGTCGGAATCACTGTGACTAGGACAGAAGGTGATCGGACAATCACAACATATGCAACCAACGATGGCCCATGGGCTCCATATAAAGCCAACTCATTTGTGGATTGGCTGACTGGCGTGGAGTACATACATATCGCCCAAAAGCCCAGGAGATACCTCCATTTCCAACGAAAATTGCAAAAGAACCTGCCCGAGGAATTGCAATACTTCGCTGGGGGAGGTTACATTGGCGATAAAGGGGGACGATTCAAGAATTCGGAGAAAAATACACATTCAGCTCGTGTAGCCTTAAACCAACACCTGCCACAGGCAACAAGCTCTCTACCCGATTATGATCCAGACTCGGACTTCCAGGACGAGGATAGTGAAGAGGATCTCGAGGTGTAATGCAATCTCCCAATATGCGGTCACCTGTTATGCTAAAACACATGGTGCGTTGAGCGTGCGGCTTTTATCCCTCAGCCCGCTGAATGAGAAGATGCTTTTATGCTGCTTTCTCGATCTCTGAACCTATGATAGTTTGTTGTCTCTTTCTGCCACGGCGAAATCCAATTTGCTTCCACCATCATTTGAAACTGGCCTCAGGCTCAAACCATTCTGTCTTCTAGCTGACCTCTCCTGATGAACAACGTGCCTGGTCCCTTGATACGGGGGTGAACTGGTTGAGAAGTCGCTGAATGCTGTCATTCCACACGAACATCTACAGTGAACCTTGGAGGATACAATATATTGAACATGTATTGCAAGGCTTCCGTGTGTAGATAAGCGACAGCCCTTATTACGTTGATTACATCTATTCGCTCCGAGATCCTTAAGCGTTGGAACTGTAAGTGTGCTTGGTCCAGACAGAAAGGGTGTTGACCACCTGGTGTAGCCCAAATCAATGAATACATCTGTCTCGCCTTGATTGCCTACATCTGACACTGCCCCGTACGCCTTGCATAGAAATTGACCTCTTCATCCCCCCTAGGCTCCGCCGATGCATAGAAAAGTCTGCTCTCACCAGGGTTCTGTAGCTCAGTCTAGCTTTACCTTAGAAGCTCGACGTTCGAATTAAGGCAGAGGCACCATGCCAACGAATTGACCAGTCCCTTCCATAGGACTCATCCACGATACTCGTCCGCTGGTGAATATTTCCGCTTCAGGCCTCCGCTGATTCAGAAGTTCGATATCGTCGAATATTCCAGCCCGGACAATGGTCGTCTCGGCAGGAACTCCCTCAGAATCCATTCTCAGCCCATAAAGCGGTGTGCCTAGGCGAACTCATCAGATGACGATTTTCCAACCCAGTCATATAGTCCTGTACAGTACATACCACAATCTGGGCAGAAATAGTTCTTGATATGAGTCCCACTGTCCGCTACTTTGGCCACTTCTTTTGGGTTCCCGGTTATTTTCAGGTCGGCCCTTTTGACGACGAAATTGTATGAGAAGAGAGCGCCGCTGAGTTTCCGGCAGTCGCGACAGTGGCAGAGTCCCTGGAGAAAAGCAGGGTAAGTGTAGGTCATGGATAAGCTGATTTATTTGTGCAGGTCACCAACCACGGTCATGGGTTGACCGCTATATTCAATGCGGACCTTTCCGCAGAAACAGCCGCCTGAAGCGGTAGTACTAGTAGGAGTAGCCATTTAAACAGCGAGTATCTGATGTTATGAGGTTACAGAAGGGCTGATGAGAGAAATTTCACACGATTCTACTCGGCCTGGGCGAACATTTACATTTATCTACCGGAAGCGTAAGCAGAGCTTATAAGTCATGACTCTTACACGAATGATCCAATAGTAAGCTTGTAATCGTTGGTATCGTTGGCCCCAACATAAGCGCGTTGAGAATAAGCATTCTAGTCAACAATTTCTGTGCAGGAATAATTATTGCTTTTAACTTGTCATAAGTTCCTGCGGATATTTTTGATTATTCTTTTGCTGCGTTTGGGATAAGGAGTCTCGGTGTCATAATTGTCATAATGGGCTGAAGGTTATGGCAATGCTCAGATAGTAATGTAGGATTGAGGGGCGGCGAGGTGGGAGTATATCAGCCTTTCGTGTATTTACCATCATGCATATGCAATCATTACGACCAGCCTGATTATGGAGTAGCGTTGTTCCAGTTACGAGCTGACAAACAAGCGTGTCTATCTACCTCGGGTACGATAGTTGTCATATGTCCAACCACAACCAAAAAGGTGTCTAGACGCCTATCTCTAGCTAGTAGGGTCAACACAGGGGAATACAACAATAGTTATAAGTAGTTTCTGTGGGTTACATTGATCGCCAACAGATGCTAACATTTAAATCTGGTGGCGAGTCTTGTACGGAGTACTTACCAAGATAGCTGCCTCATAGATATCACAGATGTTTGGGTAGGCTCAAGCATAGAATTGAGTGTATACTTAAGCATAGTAGTCTGATGGCCTGCTATTCAAGGTATTCAGGCCAGTCACCTCCTACCTTACCTACCTTAATGATCATGGATGGTTTGCATCGTTGAACAGTGAATAAGTACCTAGGAAAGCCCTAGACCAGTTAGCCAACCAAAGCGAGAGGTTGGAACACTGTAAGCCAATCAGCATTAGTTGTTGCCTGGTTCTATTTGTGGCTAATAGATACGGGTGCTCCGCAACACTTCGGGATCAGAGACTCTTACTGTTGAACCATGTTATTACACTACTATTATACTACGCCAGGAATGATTGTCTAGACATCCTTTTAGTTGTGTGGTTTTGCGATTCACACTTACAAAGATACATTAGCCATGGTGTATTCACCACAGCCAACAGACCGATCGCCAGGCCTCCTTTTATCATTTCCCCAGGAAATCCTCCAATCGATTTTGAACAACCTTCTAATAAACGAAATCTACACGGACAGTTCCATCCAGAAGAGTCTATCCTGTCGGGTCCTCCCTTTCTCCCAGGTTGTCCACAAAACAAGGAGCATCCGTGACGTTTGCAGTTCGTGGGCCGACGCTACCCGTTCCCTTGTCTTTCGAGGAAAATCAACAAGGGATGGATTAGTCCTAGAACTTCCCCGTCTCTTATCCGAAGACGACCTTCGAACATTTCCGCTGCTCAGGGACTGCATGGTGGAACTTTGTCATCCGTACTCACTTCCCGAGCTCGATTCTCTCCAGCAGGATCTGGCAAAGGCCTCCGTGGATTCACGCAAATATGTCTGTGCCATTACCTGGAGATGCGATGATCCCATGGACGTGATGAGAGGTGCTGTTGGGGGCATGGGATATGGGACGATCGGACAGAAGATGGTGGACACCTTTGTAGATGAATGCATTGCCGCAGGCCTGAAGATTGCGGACTGCGCTGGTCACCGTCCGAACGGCGGGAGTCCAGCTGATAGCGAGCAGTTGGAGGAGGCTGCCGTCACGGCGATGAAAAACTTCCTCTTCAAGGAGGTCCTTGGCCTTTGGTACTACAATGCCCATATTGTTCGACAGATTCTCAGTGCATTCCCCCTCCTGGAGTACCTTGTTCTACCGGACTTTCTGCACCTGCCGTTTCTGACAAGGGTGGAATATTTCTTTCCTCCATGTACTGATCCTGGTGATGTGTTGTCTCCATTCGGCTCTGTCAACTTCTCCCCTCCGCAGATGTTGCAAACTCTTGGGATTACATATAGGGAGAATGGCCGCCGTTACTCGGACATTATGGCGTCTCTCAAGGTGGTGGATATTTTCTCAGTACACTATAACCCAATCTTGGCCTTGTTCAGCCGCAGGTCTGACTGCCTGCCCTCTGGCCTGCTGTCCGTGCTGATATTTAACCGTTGGTGGAATGGAAATCGTTCCGAAATTGGAACTGATGTTGTTAAGAGGTTGAGAAATCACGTCGATAAAGCAGTTTCTGATATACCAGATAGAAAGAACCCCAGGCTATTTGATGTGCAAAACCTGAGGAATGTGATGGACGAAATGTATCAAGACTGGTGATGATTATCTAAAGTATCATACTGATATCTTCAAGCTGAAAATTTGCCAAATTAGCCCTACTGATAGAAATGAATAACTGCGTTGACTGAATTCCCCTCTCTGCTTTTAGGAAGATAAACTGAACAGAGGAGATATAGAGAAACTACTCCCATAAATTATATTTCCAAACCCCAGTTACATTTAGCGTCGACTACTCCCGGTAGATCGCTATGCTAATAGGCATGCCACATGCCTAGGTGTAGCGAAGTCTTCCCAGCGAAGGGGTGCAAGCCTAGGACGCTGAACAGACTGCCAATGTCAAACTACTGGTCTTGATTCGTGTTTCTGCTTGTCTAAATAATTTTGTAGTTGTCCAATCTATAGAGCTTGATTGGGTAAATTTGACCCCAATGGACGCGTTCTGGTTGAGGGTACTAAGTACTACCGTCGGTAAAACTAATTAGCGGGATGTTTGTTTTACTGTGGCGGAAGATATGTGCGGCGTAAAAGGATGTTATCGGCTATGCGTTCCTCGGGAATTTTGGCGTATAGTCTTACAGCTGCCAGAGCGCGCTTAATGGCCGTAAGGCAACTAGACCGGGAATCAGGCAATGACAGGGCTTGACATGCCCAGGGGGTAGTGGGACTTAAGGCAAACACGGACAGGCTATCGTCCGCTTATCCACCGACAGTTTACTGACCGGATGTTATTAGACCTTGAAGGAGACTGGTGGTAGTGATACTCTTCCTCTCATTCTTATCAATTCTTCGTCGTCTAGAGATTACACGTTATCTGCTGAATTCTCCCACAAACGGTATTCAATGGCGCCACACGCAAGCTCCCTACAGACCAGCACGTCTGTCAAACTGGATCAATCGAATGGCGCGGAATCACACTCGGTATGGAGTTTCATCAAGAGAAATGTGGATTCACGCCCACTGTCCACCGCCGTCTCGGAAGGCGAAAGGTTCTTAACCTACCAAGACCTCGACACAACTTCAGCGAAACTGGCTGCGGTCTTCCTCGATCGTGGAGTGCGTGCAGGGGATACGGTTCCCATTCTGCTGACCAGGAGTCTGGAAAGTGTAACGGCTATCCTTGCGCTGCTACGGCTTGGTGTATGCTATGTGCCCATGGATGCCGATTCCTGGGGCGAAGCGCGAATCGACGCCGTCTTGCGAGCCACAGAACCGACCAGAGTGATTCTCACGGTTGATGTCAGTCACAAGATTGATAGGTCTATGTTGATAACTGCGGAAGAGGTCAAATCTGCATGGAATAATTCATTCAATACCGCACAAATGGAGACGGTGGCGGAAAGTCTGCATCTGCACCAGCACCCGGATGCGTGGATGTATATTATTTTTACATCTGGCACGACGGGACAGCCAAAGGGAGTTGTGATTCCGCATCGATGCATCGTGAATTATGTGCAGCAGGGAAGCGACAAGGGAATGCCATTTAACCTGGGTGTCACCCATAGCGATAGGGTACTGCTACTGTTCTCTCTTGCGTTCGACGGTGAGTCAATGAGAATCCCTACAAGCCGTAAGTAAAAGAAAAAAAGGGGCGCCCAGCTAAGTCAGTGCTACAAAACAGCTGCGTGGGGAGTCTTCTTCAGTAGTCTTTGCCACGGTTGCCACCTCGTTCTCTCCGAGCCCAGAAGAGTGTTCGAAGACGTGAAGAGCTGTACAATTCTACCTGCTACACCATCTCTCCTTAGCACTCTCGGTGAGCCTCAAAATTATCCCAACGTCAGGTCCATATTTCTGGGTGGAGAGTCCCCGAGTCCAAAGCTTGTGCAAGAATGGTGGAGCCCCAAACGCCGCATTTTCAACTGCTATGGTCCTACTGAAGCTACCATCTGCACTAGTATGGGCGAGGTACGCCCCGGACAAAAGATCACGCTGGGCGAGCCAATGACGGACACGCAGTTATTCATCCTGAACGACCAGCTGGAAGAATCGCAGGACGGGGAGATATATATCAGTGGACCCGGTCTTGCAGTCGGATACTATAAGAACGAGGCGCTGACAGCGGACAGATTTGTCCAATGGCGAGGCCAACGGATATACAGAACTCTAGATCGTGGTCGAAAGCTGCCAGAAGGAATTATGTTCTGTGGTCGCGAGGATAGCATCGTCAAGAACCGTGGATACTTGATCAATATCGAGCTTGATGTAGTTCCTCTTTTGCTCGCTTATCCACAGGTGACAACAGCGGCGGCATTTATGCACAAAGGAAAGCTGATAGGATGCATCGCACCGAAAGCCGTGGACGTTACGGAGATGCGACGACGGCTGTCCCAAGCAAATGATGCCTTTTTGGTACCTGACCACATAGCAGCGTACCAGGAGCTTCCAACATCCCCCAACGGCAAAGTTGACGTAGCATGTCTGCAGAGAACATTCACTGATGAGACCGAATGTGATGAGGATTGCTTTGCGGATGGCACTCGCTTGACTGCAGTCATCGGTGCGATAGCAGATACCCTGGGACTACCCACAAGCTCGATCTCCACAAGCTGTAGCTTCCGGGAGTTGGGAGGCAATTCTTTGCTTGCCATCAAATTGGTATCCGGCTTGCGTCAGCGTGGACTCAAAGTCTCCTTTTCAGATATATACGAATCGAAAGGCTTGGATCAACTCGCCGAGAAATGTGTCTCTGTCCCCAGGAGCGGGGGAACGCCCATCGAGGGTGCGCCTGCCTCTCTGGCTGTTGATGCTCCGATCACCACAACACAGACGGGAATGATACGCTCATCAATACGAAAGTCTGCGACAAGTTACATGCTCGTGTCGGTTTCTGTCCCTTGGGCCCCTGAGCCGGACCACAATGAGAAGTTTAGACGCGCCTGGGAACAAGTTATGCTGAGGCATTCCATTTTCCAGACGATTTTTGACCTCCTTGCAGGTGTCCAAAAGCCAGTTGAACAAGGCAACTTCGATTGGCGAGAGCGATGTGTGTCGGCAGAGGAATTAGACTCAGCTGTCGAAGAAGAATCCTCTCTTCTTTTGCTGAGCACTAATCATCAGGATGAAGAAGGAATGTTCCGTCCGCGAAACTCTTTTCGTTTGGTGAGCGCGCCAGAAAACTCAAAAGCAGTGTTGCTGTGGTTGGTTCACCACTGTCTGGTGGACGGATGGTCCATGGGATTAGTTGTTCAAGAGGTCCAAGCAATTCTAAGAGGAGAGAACCTGAAATATCCTCCTCAATTCTGGCAATTTGCGCAACTACTCTCACGGCATCTAGAAGACGCTGGTGGCAAAGGGAAGCAGTTCTGGAAAGATGCTATGTCGCGAATCGGCGACGGCGTGTCCCTGAGCCTTCCCAAGCCTGTAGCTCCGGCTGATAGAAGTCATTTTGGGGTGACAAGCTTGGCCATCGACCTTCCATTGCTACGAATAGAGCAAATTTGTCGCATAGCCGGAGTAACGTCTGCGACTATGTTATACGCTGCCTGGGCACTCCTTCTGAAGACTTACACCGCCCAAGACGACCTGGTATTCGGAACCGTGTTCTCAGGGCGCGACTTCCCTTTGACAGACATTGACAAGATCGTGGGACCATTGCTAAATGCATGTCCACTCCCCATGAGCTTCGCAGGATTGAACGCAAAGGAAAGTCTTTTGGATTATGTATGCAAGGCTGTGCACCAAGTTGCTGAGCATCAATGGACGGCCGCAGAGGCATTGAGAGATATCACGTCAGGAAACCATAACAATATCTTTCAGACAATGCTGTTCTTAGAGTATGATTTGCCAGGCTTCACGAACAGTGGTTGGGAGTTCAGCCGCACCGATGTCCCTGAATTCCCGCTGACAGTCTTGATACAGCGGAAGCGTGGTGGCCTCTAGGTGGCCTCTACCTTAAAACATTGTTTGACCAGACAATGTATACTCGTCCAGTCATTGAGCGGATGATGAAGCACTTCCAGAACCTGTTTCTCGCCCTGCTGGACCCAGGGACTATGACAATTACCGAAGTCTGTGATAGAGTCTTGGATCCTTGTGAGTTGTTGAACCTGATTCATAGCTCGTCTTCCCTCATGTGTCCATACGTTGGGCCGTCAAACCTGAAGGATATCTTCGAGATTGGAGTGCGCCGCTGGCCAGATGCAGTTGCTGTCGAGTCTACTGACAGGTCCATCACTTACCGGGACATGGACCTGCTAACGAACTATGTCGCAAGGGCCATTGCAGACCGTACACGTCCCGGCGACGCTGTCGCGGTTCTGAGTGACCGCAGTTTTGATTGGGTCGTCTCTGTCCTGGCAACTGTCAAGGCAGGAGCTACATATGTTCCCCTGGATACAAAGCTCCCTATCGAAAGAATGAAGACGATTGTTGATTCCTCACAAGCAAAAATTTGCGTCTTCCCGAATGAGGCTTGTCACAACGGCTTTCTGGGTGTGTGCAAAGAGAAATTCCTACTTCATGACCTCCTGTCCAAACCAGTCAAGGCACAGTCACCTAGGCTGAGCACCGCTATCAACGGAGAAGATATAGCCTACATCATCTTCACATCAGGCTCAACTGGAACTCCGAAAGGCGTGCGTATTCCACATAAATCGGTAGTTTCATACCTTTCTTACAAGCCTGCCCGAATGGACGCTCGCCCTGGTAGACGACATGCGCAGATGTTCTCACCTGGATTCGATGTCAATTTGGCAGAAATATTCGGCACTTTGTGCTATGGTGCAACTCTTGTGCTTGCAGATCCAGGCGACCCATTTGCTCATCTTTCTCGTGTAAATGCGACAATGATAACCCCGTCGTTCCTTTCTGTCTGCAATCCTGATGACTTCCCGAACTTGGACACTATACTCTTCGCGGGAGAGGCAGTGCCACAGATCTTGGCTGACCGGTGGGCAACGAATCGGACAGTTTATAATTCCTACGGCCCTTGTGAGTGCACAATTGGCTGCCTTTTCCAACCTCTTCAGTCTGGCAGAGAAGTCACATTGGGGCGTACTATCCCCCGAGTCGGTGTGTACATCCTCGACACGCGGGGCCGCCCAGTCCCGATAGGGGTTCCTGGGGAGATTTGCCTGACTGGTATTCAAGTCGCCGAAGGATACATTGGCAGGGGCATGGGAAATCTCTCAGGATCCCGCTTCGTATCGGACCCTTTCATACGTGGGCATCGCATGTATCGCACCGGCGACCGAGCGGTCTGGACAGAAGATATGGAGCCCCGATTCTTGGGCCGAGTGGATAACCAAGTCAAAGTCAGGGGATTTCGAATAGAGTTGGAGGAAGTCGAGAATGCCATTCGTGTCGTCAGTCCCGAGGTTCGCCGCGCGGCTGCCATCGTGAGCGGAAACAACATTGTGGCATTCATTGAGCCCGAGAGTGTCGTCGTGAGTCGAATTCAAGATGCATTGCGAGCCAAGTTACCAAGTTACGCTAGGCCGTCCTCTATTGTTGCGCTTCATGCCTTGCCCACAACGCCCAACCAGAAGCTTGATCGGAAGGCTCTCCAATCGCATGCGATTTACACGACGACAAAGGGCGGAAAGCCTCTCACAAGGACTCAGTCCATGATCGCAACCATATGGCGGGAAATCCTAGGCCAACCGGCTGATATGAATATCGATCCAGAAGCAGATTTTCTTCTTCTCGGTGGTAATTCGTTGTCGCAAATCAGAGTTGCGCAGAAAGCCTCCCAAGTGTATGAGTTCAGATTTCCTCTGAAGTTGTTTATATGGAACACGACTCTTTCCCGTTTGAGTGAACAGATAGACGACTGTCTTTCGAGCAAGAAGCTTTCGCAAGCGGGTGATCGCTCATTCAAATCCTCCTGGCGAACGATAGAGCCCCCCTTCACGGAGGTGTCATATCTCGAGGAAGAATTCGTGCGGCTTTCAATTTCGTCGCCATCTCCCCAAGCATTCAACGTTGCTTATAAAGTGAGATTGAAAGGCAATGTGAGCCTCCACACTTTTAACGAAGCAGTTCTTGCTGTTATTGCGAAAGAACCCATTCTGCGGAGCAATTACCGGATGGAAAAGGGTCGTGTTAAAAGGAGTCAGTCGTCCGTCGAATGCGAAGTCATAGCGGGGGAGTTCTGCGATGCGGAAGTGACTAAATTTGTAAACCGTCCATTTGACCTTTTCGACGGTCCATTGACAAGGGTCATGCTCTGTCAGGAACTTGGTGGAGTCGATATCGTTCTTGTTCAACATCACGCCATCACCGACAAAGTCGCGGTTCGAGTGTTCTTCCTCAGGATTGGAGCTACATACCGCGAGATTATCCAGAACGGACGAGCGGTTGACCGTACGGGGGCAATATCACCAAACATGTCAGACTACAGAATCTGGGCCGAATGGAAAGCCCACCAGCCGTCCCAGGTCAGCAGCGAAGATGCCACATACTGGAAGGGGCAGCTGGCCGACCTTCCACGCTTTGCATTTGAAGATGGTAGCCAGCTGATTAGCACCGGGCGATCCGAGACTTTTAGTTTGAACCCAAGCCACACGTCCACGCGTCCGATGGAGCTATACGTGATGCTTGTCGCACTGGCGATGGCCAAAGTAAAGCGAGTCACGGACTTGGTGCTCGCAATACCACATATCAATCGTACTGAGCCCGGCACTGAAGATCTTTTGGGTGTTTTTCTCGATATATTGCCGCTGCGTGTTCGGATGACCGAGGCAGCCTCGCACAGCCCTTCGGTTCTCATGCGGTCGTTGAAAACCCAAATTCAGGACGCGTTAACTCACTCGATTCCGTTCAGGAACATTCGCTGTCTGATTGGCGAAGATCAAATCTTTCAAGTCCTGGTAGTGTGCCATAGAAGGGAAGATTCGGTCTCGAGTGGTCTGGACCTTCCTGGAGTCACCGTGGAAGAAACGTCCTTACGGGCAAGGGGTGCCAAGTTCCCTGTCCTAGTAGAATTTACGGAATTGGAGACAGATATCCTGTGTGAGTTCGAGTATATGGAGGGTCTGGTCACCCAGGATTTCGTTCTGGCTCTCCGAGAAGCTATGCAGACAATTTTTTCTGGACTGTGAAAACGCTACGATTCTCATGGGCCGAATACGTTAGTAAACCAACACGTTTCTGGGCTTACATATGACTCTTCTCCCTGCTCACGGCATTGTAAAACGATTGATTCTACCTTGTATTCGTGGATCAGCGCTGTTCCTCGCCGCGGCTAGAAGTGCATGAACTTAGATAGAGGGCTTCGACGCACTCGTCTCAGAAGTGGTCCAGGGCCCGTCGCGACAACTGGAGCACTACCCCACATTCGGTTCATATATAATGACCGTACGGATTATTCCTGCTTATTCGCCGGTAGAAACTTTCCACATATTCTCCCCGTTGGGACGTCTCCACTACCCGCACTAGTCGTCTATAGATGCCAGCCGTACCTTATGTACCCTATGGCAGAGCAGTTCCCGCAGAAAACTCCAAGCCTCATCAATAGTCCACCCCATCTTACCTCGTACAGCATGGCTATCTCAATTCTTACGTTTCTGTAAGTCATCATAAGTCCAGAGGAGGATTTCCATGTACTTGATGTGAGACTCACTGGAACCATAGTACATCCTTGGTCAAAAAGAGCCACTGGCCCACCCATGAGCGAGTAAGGGACCATATTATTGCTATATAGCTTTATTTCCTGGTAACCTAACTAGTTTTTATCAGACTCTATCGGATCATGAGCCCCGTGGGTGGAGCGGTGAAAGACGACCGTCCGCGGACGATCTGGGTACGAGGCCAGATAGCGCGTTATGGGATCAAGATATAGGAACGCTTTTGCACAAGATGTTGGATATGGCTAGCTACTTGCCCGAATCACAGACTACTCACCTGCAGTTCTTCCGCGATGGAGTTACTGCGTCTTTGGGACCGCATCCCCGCCGGAATGGAGCACCCACCGCCTGGAGAAGCTTCATGACGGATGACAATACCCCTGTTGAGCTGAGTTGGTGCTGGTCCAATGCGGCAGATATACCAACTGTGCGATATGCTGTGGACCCGATTGGGAAAGTAGCTGGTCCGGCTGCCAGCCCCATGAACGCAACTTCCAGCGCCAGATTGCTACAGAACGCCCTCCCACTTGCGCCAGAAGTCGACCTGGGTCTATTGAGCTACTTTCAGCAACGCTTGACAACGGAAGACACGGTCAACAACAAGGCATTGGATAGTGCCGCTGAAGTCCCTCAATCTCAGCATTTCATCGGATTTGACTTGATGGAAAAGAGTATTGTAATCAAGCAATATTTCCTGCCTACCTGGAGAGCATTGGCCGAAGGCAGATCAAACTTGAGCTTGGTTTTGGAAGCGATCCGGAATCTCCCCGGACCAGCAGATTCTCTTGCTAGCTCTCTCGGCGTTGTCGCCGATTATATTGAATCGTTCCCTTCTGACTCTCAGCCGGTTGTGGAAATCCTTGCAATTGACTGCCTGAAACCCCGTGATTCGCGCCTGAAGATCTACCTGCGCAGCCGAAACACGACATTACACAGCGTTGTCAATATGCTGACTCTGGGAGGTCGAGTCCCCATTTCAGATGAGGGATGCAAGTCGCTGAAGGAACTATGGCTTTCCGTATTTGACCTGCACCAGGACGAGCATGGCAACCTTGATCCACTTCAAGAGAATTCCCATCGAACGGGAGGAATTCTCTATTACTTCGAGTTGAAAAGCAATGCCTCTATTCCAAAATCTAAGGTCTACCTTCCGGTCCGGCATTATTCCCGTGACGATGATCAGATCGCTCGGGGACTCTCCAGGTTCCTTGAGCACAGAGGAAAGAGACTGAGAACGGGATCCTACTATGACGGGGTAAAGGAGCTTTGGTATGTCCATCTTGACCAGCTCGACACGATTACTGGAACAGACTCGATGGAGTACGGCTAACTTTTCACTCTTTCTGGCAGCATGCATCGAGAGCTCTCAAGTGGCTTGGGCTTTCATACCTACATAAGTTGGGCCTCTGAAGGGGATCGTTGGAATGTTACTTCTTACTTGAATCCGGAGGTCAATCACCCATGTCGAATTACTCATGCATGACCAACAAACGGATACTGCTTGTATGTTGTCTTAGATCGGAGATTTGGACCAGCTTGTGTGGGGTCAGTTTTCGTGAAGCCTTCACAAATGTAGCCGAAGCATATCTAGAGAACTTGTGTTGTTACCGGTGAGAAAAATGGACAATATCCCCGGAGAAGGTTCTGAATGAAGATAATACATAGAGTTCCCATACGGAATCGTTCCATATCCATAATTTTGCAGGTTAATTCCCCGGCTCATTCTGCCCTGCGGTGTCGCGGCGTTTATACTTCGGGTGATAAAACGTAAATACTAATATTAGATGCCGATAATGCTCCCTAAGAGACAAGTGAAAACTGTGACTTTGTACTCCCGTTCCTCCACAACAACATCTTCTGCCCAGCAGATTCTGTACAGCTGAACTGAGCCATGGAATCAACCAACTATCTTCCTGTCTCGTCTGTGTCCGCCGTACTGGGAATTTGTTTCCTATGGGCAATTTTTCGATTGGAGTGGCTGATAGGTGTCTGCGTAAGTAACTTCCGTCTAGAGACGCAGTGACGCAAAATTCACAATCATCCCAAGCTCTCGAACGTTGTCTACCCCTTGCGGAGCAGCGATGGACAATCTATTCCAGGTCCTGCATGGAAGTGGCTCGATGGACAGTGTCTCGACAAGTTCATCCGAGGCAGACAGTCCAGCCAGAAGTGGCGTATGTACGGATCTGTTTATCGAATCTGGTCAGGAATGAGGCCTGAGATGTATGTACCGGTTGATAGAATTGCTACGCTTATTGCTACGCTTATTCCTACGCTGGCAAGGCAACTGACTTTTACTCTCGTGTCCAGAGTCATTACGAAACCAGAGGATGTCAAGCGCTTTCATATCGATTCCGTGACTCATTGCAAGGCCCGGTCAAGCAACGGAGGCTGGTTGTTTCATCAGCTGCTTGGGGACTGCATGGGACTTATCAATGGACAGAGATGGAAACGCATCCGGGCCCAATTTGACCCCTGGTTTGTCCAAAGTGCCATTGCCCGACTCGCCGATCAGCCGACGCAGTACGCCGCGGATTATATTGAGAGACTGGAGAAAACGCTTAATCCCGGGGAGAGCGGTTCCTTCATAGTTCATGCTGCCCAGACATTCTCCCGCTTTCCGTTCATGGCCAATGCGGAATACATCTATGGGCCGCTGGACGGCGACGAGAAAGAAGAGCTTTGGGTGCTCGGACAGCGAAGCCTGGCGATGATGGCTCACGTACTATCCGGTGGAGTGCATCGATATAAAATCTACCGGTGGCTCAAGCCAGGGACATACCGGCAGTTGGTTGATTTCGAGCGTGATTGGTCATCGTTCAACGAACGAATGTACCATAAACAACGATGCTCTGATACCACCCACCCTATTGTTCCAGTTTGGAAAGAAGTGTTCAACGGCAATATTCCAAAGATGGAGGTACGGCATTATTTTAACTGCGTCTTCCCCGCGACACAGCAGCTCATTGAACCATAGCTAGTGCAGACTCTAAGCGAGATCATCTTTGCGAACCTCGACGTTTCGACTCATATCCTCACCTGGCTGATCATACTGCTGGCGGAGAACAGCGGCTGGCAAGCTCGACTGCGGGACGAAATCACCGCAACAGATTTGACGTTGCCGGAACTCTGTGCTCGAAAGGATACACTATTGCATCATTGCTTCTTAGAATCTATCCGACTCCGACCATTCACCGGTATGTTGCTTGCTGCGAGTATCAATTGGCCCTGTGATCCACAGACGCCTCGGTGTCTCACTAACAATGGGCAGTATTCACCATTCCTGCCAGCTCTCCTCAGAAGAAGGCTTTCGGGCAGTTCATCATTCCAGAGAACGTAGGGTGTGCACGTCCAGATGGGGCCACATTAACTGACTCTGCAGCAGACGTGTGTAGTCGTGGACAACCTCGCACTCAGTCGCAACGGTGAATTTTGGGGTGAAGACACCGATGAATTCAGGCCAGATCGTTTCAAAAATTTGTCGCCGACGGAGGTATTTGCAGTGGAACGCCATGTGCGGGAAGTGTAGCTAACAGTATTCAGCTTCGCTACAACCTTTACACGTTCGGGTTTGGAACCCGGAAATGCATAGGCCAGCACTTCGGCGAAGCAATAATGAAACAATTTGTTTGTTGTCTGCTCAGTCGCTATGAGCTGAGGCTTCCGGAAACCGAGAAAGCCGCCAGTTCCGGGTACAAAAACGTCAAGAACACATGGGTGCCTATTTCTGATGCGAGGCTTATCTTGACACCGAGGCGGCCTGCGGAGTTGCTAGTTTAGTCTGATTCACGAGGCGCAAACAAGTGCATGTTGGACAATCTTGGAGAATTCCAGGTTCTGGAAATACGGACATTATGGCATGTGGACCGCCAACTATATCCCGCTTATGGGTGCAAGAACGATCGCAAGTGACGGGTGATGTTCGTCAAGGCACTGCTTCTCTAGGTTACTCCCAAAATAGCAGTTGATCCATTGGCTACACATGGTCACAAGACTGACAATTGCTTCCCTAATGTGAATTCGTCCACTGAATATGCGTATCGTAGAAGGATTTGTGACTGCATCATTCAGCGTTTGACGCCACTAGCAAACTCCTCGTTAACTCCTTCACTTCTCATATATGCTAATGAGCCAATACAGTACTGTCATTTGGTACTCTCCCAACTAATCCGTCAAGCTCAATCTCAAAGGCCTTCGCTTGCAGGGTCAGATAAGCCGCGTCTGAATTTCCCTGCGGCATTTCGTCCACCTTCTTCTTAAACTCCTCCACCGTCTGCCGGATTTCTCCCAAGTGTTTCTGGATGATCATCGCTGCTACGACGGCGCCAAACTCTCCAGAAGCGCGGTATCTGCCTAGACGCACTTCTGCGCACACTCCATACGCGGACAGAGAGGAGCGACTCCACTCCAGCAAGCGGGAGAGAACCATCTTCGCCAAGAAGAGTGCTTGAGTATCTGCGGTGCAAGAACGGCACTTCAGAAGGTGGCGGATGGACGGGAGCATGCGTCGCGAGTGTATCAGTAAAGTATCAATTGACCTAAATTGTTCGGCGCTCCGCGGTGTGGTTCGCAGATTGCAGAGGTGGTTGGTTGCGGTGGAGAAGCAGGCACAGGGCGAATGTGTGCAGGAGGTGATGCCGCAGACAGAATTGTCATATATGGGGGATGTCAACAACGTCGAGTGTGTGATGCCTTGTCTCTTACTTTCCTGATGTACTGGCAGAACTTGGGGATCTAAAGGTAGGGATGCGAGGCTCGACTCAGAAGGGGTCGTGCTGGGACGAGGCGAGATTCCATGACGCCCGTCCTCCAGACAAGAAATGTTGTCAAGTGTTGGTCTAGCATCCCGCTTAGTATTAGCGTTTTCGACTTGAGGAGCTATGGCATTCAAGGGCAGTTGAGAATTGTCCTGATCCTTCGAGCTCCATTAGTGGCAACACAGTACACGCGCTTTTGAAGAGACATACAGTGCGAGAAGGGCTTTCTGCGGCAGTCGATGGCCAGTGGTTATCGAGCTCAAGAAGACACTCGTCAGGAAGGAAAAATTCCTCGAACGTGGGCTCGGATGACCTGATCTGGCCACTAAATTCCCCCAATTCCGATGGCAGCTGAAGTAGATCGGGCCTTGCATCTGAACTCGAGCCCGCTGCACTTGTGTTGGATATGGCTGGCGGCGTGGGGGCTGCTCCCTGGGCTTTATGGATTTCTGTCTCTTGTGCTTCTCTCATGCGCCGCAACCGTTCAATTGTCTTCTTGTTCATACTGCCCTTCGGTTTCCCGAGTTTTGCTTTGTAGCTATAGTGACATCGAAGATTGCTGACGCCAGCAAGGCGGGGTTAGACCTTGTTTCATGACTGCGGGGGGATTCCCTCACTCTCTGTAACACCGAGCGCATGGTGTCCCTCCTGTACATCGTGTTTTGGCTGCGTGACACCCATCACAGGCTGCTCGAAGCTTGCGTGTGCTTTTCTCCTGAGCTCTAATGTTAAGGGTGTTGTTCTCTGACTGGTCCCGAGTGCCCGCAGTCTGACTCGTGATTACTGGCAAGCCTCCTAGCATTGCATCTAAATCGAGAATATCCATCGACGATCTAGCAAAGTACGCGGCGATCAAGCCAACAGAAGTGTATTGTGGTGAGGTCTGGATTAGCTTTGGGGGATCAAAGTTGAGACCAACCACACAGAGCTTCCTCCATAGACCTGTCTACCATAAGGCGCATGGCAGCACAGTAGCGCTTTCGGCGCTTTCCACCCCGGCGAGGTAAAAAGTGAGATCCTTGTTCCAGTGAAACCACTATCAGTGATAAAGACACCAATGGACTCATTTACGGACGAGTCAGAATTTTGCCCCAAATGGATTGAGCGCCTCAATTGCCCACCGGTCAAGCCCCCTGGCTACTAAATGACTGAACCCTAGTGGTTTGGCGCTTGCTATGGACCCGGCTGTATCAGCGGCTGAATGCCATGCAAAGAGGACAAAGCAACGGTGGAGCATGCACTAACATAGTTACCCCCCAAGGAAAATAATCTGTGGTTGGCAGATCCAACAGGATCTTGTTTGCGACAATCAGAGTTCATTGAAACCAGCGTATGGCGTACTCCGAGGACATGGAGATAGCATACTCGCTTCAGTTCATCTGCCATCATTTTGTTAAATCGAATCTTTAGAATAGAGCTTTAATGCTAGTCCGTATGTCCTCTAGCATTCGGTGAGCCAGCACTCCGCTAGGCAACATGGGCAAGTTTACTAGTGTTAGCGATCCCTGATCATAGTAAGAATAAGGGTCATGCCCCATACTCAGACTATGGAGGTATTTTATGGAAGGACCAAGGAGTGTTTATGCCCCTCTCTAAGTGGGGGTGGGCTATTTTAGTCTCTCCTTTTCCACTCACAATAACCATGACCACGGCCGGTTCTCGCCTACCCGACAAGCCTTGGCAAGGGTAAGAACAAGAAACGTCGCATTTACTAACCAGGGGGCTTGGGTTTCAGGCTACCATCTCCAGCGTATATTTGTTCCTAACAGGCAATCCGTGCATGGTGCTAGTAGACACGACTTGTCCTAATGAAATTGATTGGCGGTATATGGCCGAGTATGCATATATCCATACCCATATGGATGTACGCCACGGAATGAGGATCGACTGTCGTTGAGAGCCTCTACCAGGATGTTAGGGACCGGTGGTCCACGCTCCTCGACGTTGTGCAAGGATTAGAGATCAGAAGGCAACCTGGCGTGACCCGGAAAGGTTGACTCCGCAAGCAACATCTGGATGATCCACCAAAGATGATCTACCTTATGGATTAGTAGCATGGACATATTGGCCGTTAACCAGGATTAGACACAGGCTGGATGTCGAGGTAAAATTCTCCGACAGTTTAGGGAAGCTTTTAAGAAATGATTGCTTTCCTGTGGCCTCTTTTATGGTTGAAATCCACTTGTCGGTGTCTTCTTGTCGGTTCAAAAGGGTATTTAGAATGACATCCAACAAAAAGTCAAGGCTTCCCCCATATCAATTGGGCGAGCATGTCAGCCCTTCAGTGCATTTAAACTGCGTTCTACTGACAACCACAGTCGTCAACTTCTTGGATCTCTTCCAGCTCTCCTCTGTACTCTTCGCGCTTCCTAATATCCAGCAGGCTCTTGGATTCACAAGTGAAGATATTAATTGGGTCTTGATAGTGTACAACATCACCTTTGCAGCTTTCCTTCTGATTGCTGGACAACTGGGTCAGAGGTTTGGGCTGGAAAAGATATTCATTGCTGGCACAGTCACTCTCACCATATCCAACATCATTAACACAACAGCGCCAAACAAAGCAGCCTTACTGGCCGGTCGTGCTATTTCCGGAGTTGGGGCTGGGTTGACGGTAAGTCGATCCATCAGGGACGGACGGCCATGATTCTGATACTGTATCGTTCTTGGAGGCCCCAAATGGACTCGCGATCCTAAGCAATACATTCCCGGATGGCGACTCACGCAACAAGGCATTAGCCATTTATACAGCATGTGGCCCTCTTGGGTCGACCATCGGCACTGTTGTCGGTTCTCTTCTGGCATGTATGTGTCTGCGTCTGTCCCTCGTGTGTAAGGCTTGAGCGTCCCGACTGACTCTTTATAGCTTCTGCAGCAGGCTGGAGATCCATATTCTGGCTGTGTCTGATTCTCACAGGTCTTTCGGCAATGATGGCATGTTTGTTTCTGCCACGATTTGCAAACAGAAAGGACATACCTATTGATATACCCGGTACCTTTGTCTTTACAGCTGGTGTAGCATTACTGGTCTACGGCCTCAACGACAGCTCGCGAAACGGCTGGACATCTGCTGCAGTGCTGGCCGGGATTATCCTGGGAGTTTGTCTCCTATTTGTCTTCCTCTGGGTGGAGGCCAAGGTCCTCAATCCAGCCATTCCCGGTTACCTGTGGAAGTCTGCCCCGTTTCTGGTCATGCTGGTTGCCATTTTTGCCTTTGGCGGGAGCTTCAGTACGTGGTTCTTTATCTCCACACAGCTCTGTGTCAATCTTTTGGGCTACACTACAATTCTAACTGCAGTGTATTTTTTGGTACGTCTGTCCCCGGTCCATCATCTATTCTCGGTCTTAGACTTGGTCTGACCACGGGACAGCCCGCTGCCTTTGCCGCCATTGCAAGTGGAGTCTTCGCTACACCATTGATACGACTAGCAGGGGAGAAGAATATCCTCGTGGCCGGGCTAGCCATCACGGCCGCCGGTGCCGTCGCATGGGCGTTTGCTACCCCGGATCGGGCCGGCGGCACCAGCCACGGGGGAGGATACTGGTATTCCATCGTTGCGGCCATTATCTTCGTGATCGGCAGCCCTGTTGCTCTCGTACCGACGCAAAGCATTCTTCTCCGCCAGGTGGAAGCGGGCAATCATGCGGTTGCGGGCGCGTTGTTCAATACCGCCTACCAGGTGGGTGCGAGCGTCATCTTGGCCGGGGCAAATGCTTTGATGGATAGGAGCCGCGAGACGGTACGGGGGGTGAGGCAGGTTACTATAGACGGGTACCTGAACGCCTTCTGGTTGATAGCTGGTGTGCTTGGGGCGGCGGCGTTGACTGTTATGGTTTGCTACTGGCCGAGGAAAGATGGTCTGGTAGAGAGGCAGATGGAAGAGGCTCAGGCAGCGGAGACTTTTGCATTGGACAAAGTGGAAAAGACTTAAAGCTTTTCAAACTTGCTTGCTATTAGACAGGTGTCGACTGGGCCCGAAATGACTCAAGTCACTTTCAAGCAAGGCCAGTACAGACAAAGGAGGTCATTTAGAAAGAATCAAAGAGCTCAACAGCCCGAAATCCGCAGAGTTCATCACCATCAACTTCCCAGCCTTGATCTGATAAAAAGCTATCCAAGTCTCTTTTCAAATCTTCCGCATCCACGTAGTCATATTCCCAACACTTACACACGATATCACCTAGATATTCCCTTTCAAGGATGGGCCATTGGCGCTCCACTACCATCTGCCGCATCTCTGCATCCTCCCTGTCCCGTTCATGACCAGGCCAGGACCCCGTCATGAGCTGATAGACCAGACACCCCCAGAGAAACAAGTCCGTATGAACAGTGGCCACTTGACCATGCCGTCGGGGTGTATTGCAGGGGTGGAACGCCTTATCCCTGACAGTCTCATTAATATACTTCCTGAATGTCTGACTATCAATGTAAACAGCGTCAAGGAAGCCAACCAGCGAGAGCAAGAGTGACGAAGATAACCAGCATAATTCAATCTGCAGATCATCAAAGATGATATTTCTTGGATGCACGAAAGATAGAGCCGAAACCAGGTGTAACGCCCATTGGTAGATTAGCGGACGGTACTTAGGCGTGATCCGCGACTGTGCTTGTTCACACTCGACATATTGTTAGCGTAATGTACAGATGAATATCAGCTAGGTACACTATCGACTATAACTATTGCAGTCGAAGTAAGATCTCTCAGACAAGATACTTGCCGAAGAATTCAACAATCTTAGCCCCAGCATGATCAACCTTGTCATAAAGATCAGCATGAGTCAAACCGTCCACAACAAAAAGCTCCTTTGGCTCCTTCGCCTTGGCCACCCCATCCTCACTATACCACTTCGTCGCCGCCCTCGTCCCCGTAACCATCAGCAAAGGCCGCGGGCTAATCATCTCATTCCACGCAAACGCATCAAAATTCGCCATGAGGTCCCAGCTACGCGGCAAACACACATTCGGCGCACGCGGGTGATTCGCCCTTTTCGTGCGATAGTAATCCGCCAAATCCCGGAATGAATCCGGGTAGTCGGCGGGCATATCCTCGATGCGCTCCGGGAGCATGTGCACGAGCGGGACTTTTTCCCCAGTCACATCGCTATTCCGGTCCTTTGCAGCATTCTCCAGCTGCGTCTTGAGGATCTCCATGTTGGAGGTACCCTTGTCGAAGCCGCGTCTTGCCATTGTGCCGACGCAGACGGCCGCAGAGGTCGCGACGGCCTTGATGCGGAGGTCGGTCTGTGCTGCGAACGGCGCGTAGCCGCCAGAGGCACAGATTCCTAACACGCCGATGAGGTTTTTGTTTACTTCGTTGCGGCTGGTGAGGTATGTCACGGCGGATTTGATGTCCTCGACGCGTTGGGCGGGGTCTTCGAGGTAGCGGGGCTCGCCTTCGGATTCGCCTTGGTAGGCGGCGTCGTAGGCGAGGCAGATGAAGCCTGCTTTGGTGAGGACACGGGCATAGTTGGCGGGCGACTGCTCTTTGATGGAGGTCCAAGGGTGAGCGATGACGATGGCTGCTCCACTGCGGTTAGGCGAGTTGGGAGCTGGGAGATAGAAGTGAGCCGCGAGCTTAAACTGGCGGGATAGGAAGGACACGTTTTCTGGGGTGCTCATTGTGATGGAGTTGTGTCTGGTTGCTTTGCTTCAGATGTCTTTCAGTCTACATCCTACATTCTACATCCTGCTGGTAGATGTCCTTTTATGTTGTTCTCTCCGCACTGCGGCAACTGGGCAAGGCCGAAAATTGGGAAGGTTTCCGATAATCTTCGGAGAAGATTTAGAGATTGACTGGTGGATATCAAGCGATCCACATTCTTCCACAAAGACTAGCCTATCATGATGATGTATATCAAGGGTGATGACGGAGTAGCAGTTGCGGCTGGGTGTTGTTCGCTTTTGTGGTGGTGTAATGCAGGTGCTCCGAAATGATCCCCGAAATCCATCGGGCAGAGCAGAGTCTTACATCATGGATCTAGCCGGAGCCAAAAATCCGTAAACAGAGCAATTGGAGACCAGAGAGGTGTAAAGTCACCAAACCACTGGACCAAGATACATGGTTTCTCCACCTTAGCTTGTTGACTAGATGTTAATTAGGGCATCCTCCGCAGGTAAGGAACAACGGTGGGTCCTCGGACGCGGCATCTACGGTCTCCATTCTCCCACACAAGCAATATCATCAACCACAACAGATCATGGCATGTTTTGGCGGCCAATCGGCCCCGTCTCTACGACCTCTACCCGGTTCTCGTCCCGATCTTCTGAAGCGTTTGATGTTGCCGCCTGCACTGGATATACTGTATGAGCAGATATTCTGGGCAGAAATAAACACCCTCAGTGTGGCTCAGCTTGATGAGAAATTCGTGGCTCTTCTCACCTGGTGCCATACTGATACCATGCAAGGGGGTATGTTAGATGAATACAATGAGGCTGATGCCTTCCAAGGGCCTCAAGAAGTGACCTCCGACTTGAATCGCGTGTGGAAGACAACAGCCGTATATGAGCTGATAGCCGAGGACCACCCACCGCTTGTCCGATTCGACCACCGGGATCCATTCTTTGGGATCCCCATTTTGAACATCCGTCGACGACCCTAGAGGACTTTTTGGCCAGACATAAATCGAGCATGTACAATGCTGATCACCTAGTCCCCAGCTATCGCCCGTTAATTTACCAGCGGGCGCTGCACCTCATCTCCGGACTATCCTTTGTGCATTCAAAGGATATTGTTTTTGGTGACCTCAGGATTGAAGTATGTTGGCTGGAAAAAGAACTTTCTCTGTTGCTGCTGGGCTTCCTCGACGCTGTTTATAAAGTACCCGGGTTCTCAAAACGATATATCAACCAGGGAGGGCGATATGAGTATGAACCGTTCCACCCCTGTCATAAACGCCCATGGGATAGTTTACTGGCTACTCCGCAGACTGATCTCTTTGTCTGGGGATGCCTCATCTATCAACTCATGACAGGGTTCTGGCCCAAGCATGAGCGACAAAGATCAGACGCGGAAATCCGGGCTCTGTTCCTGAATCGCCAGTGGCCATTACTTGAAACACAGTACCTCGGCGGTGTGGTACGGAAGTGTTGGGATTATGGATATCGGGATGCCGAGCATTTAAAGACAGACCTGATTCGGTTCCTAACAGATGAGGGCTGGGAGGTTGACGGGGATGAACTGCGTGGGTTTCGAGCTACTGATCTTTTTCAGGATGAAGGGGCCATTTCATCAAAGGCGTCTTCACTGATCTCCATGTTCTCGAAATCTGCTTCGAACATCTCGAGCGAAGCGGGCTTCCCATCTGTGTAATGCTCTGCGCGTGCCCCGAGGGCATCAGAGCTTGTCATATTCCAATCAGGAAGAGACAGGTAATTCCCCATTTCAAATAGATCAGACAGAAGTAATTTGGAGAGGTACAGTCCTCTACCCGTCCTTATCACTGCTTTCTTCTGTGTGCTTCCATGCTTTCAGCACATCGAAGACACCAGTCTCATCCGTGAATTTGTCAGGTCGTCCAAAATAGTTAGGAAAGAGAATATCCGGTTCAGTGAATAAAACAGAGGCGTGGAACAGTTGAGCTGCATTATGATGAATTCTGAAGTCGTACCAGGTGTTGCCCTTTGGCGGGAGAGGCCCATATCCATTAAATTCCATAGGAGGCTCGTCCGGGGCATCTTCACCAAAGTAGAAGCTCATAAGAAGAGTCCCATCCTGAGCACTTCGCTCATCTGCAATAGCGATAATACTCTGTTCAATAAAGTTGAACTTAATAGGCTGGAGCCACTTGTCTAGTGCCCATTTCTGGCACTCCTCTTTCGAGGCATTGATGAAATCAGACTCAAAAGATTCACCATCTTGTAACCTCGTCCTGAACCCCTCTCTCGTGCTGGGGCAGTCCTTTGATTCAACAAGATAGTATAGAAAGGGAGGGTCTTCGGGGTCTGTACTGAATTCACGCAAGGCCTTAGGCACAAACTAGTAATTATAGTCAACCTTAAGTTCTTCAACCCATCCTGACATGCTGCCACTATGGCATCCTTAATAGATTATAAATGTGACTTACAGGCTTAGCCTCTTCTGCAATACAGAAAAATAAGGTGCGAGTCATAGTAAGAGATCTTTGCTGTGGCCACAGTGATGCTTTCTAGTGTAATAGGAAAATTTAGAGATAGGTAAGACTCTATAATGTCTTTATATAACTCCTAACTACAAAGGTACAACGACGTCATCCCTTATCTGAGGATAACCCATTCCAGGACAAGAAGCTTTGGCCCCGGGGCTCCCTGAGGATGCCGCCCACCTGCCCTGCCGCCGGCCCCGCCCCAGCCCCCAACGCCAAGGCAATTGTGTAATAGTCAATGTCTGTAAGCTCATACAACGAAGACCGCGAATCCCAAATTAGTAACAAGTTTTTAATTTTTTTTTATAACACTTTCCCTTGCTGCAAAAACTGCCCCTATATGAATCATTGCACGTGAACAGAGAGGGCCTCGCTGAGACACGCAATGCATGAATAACTCCGCCGAAGACTCTCAGAGCTGTTGAGTCAGCCTTATGTTTCAAACTTGCCGACTGAAGATCGTGTCTCTGCCTGCTTAAGGTCGTCGGTCGTCCCGGAGAATGTTCCTGTGGTTGCATGGCGCAGATCATGGTCGGAAGTTTCAGAGGGAGGATTCAGAGGGAGATTGATCGGTGGGTTTATTCCCATCTGAAGAAAATCGAGGGTTTTATATACAAGCTGAACATCAGATTGATTGGAAATCAATCTACACGGAATAAATCCGTATACATTCCCCCTCAGGATCGTTGTGCTTGCACGGCGATACTGCACCGGCGAGGATCGACTAGGCCTCCGTAAGACCACTAAAACCCTTTCGGGAGAAGAAAGAGAAAGAGCGCGCATGGACGATCATAGATCGCATTCTTTCCTTCAGCACTTTCAAGGCCCAACTAATCAAGTTGGCAGAATCTTGCAAATTCCGCTGGCCCTAAAAGGCTTAGGAAGACCGTCTGCTGCTTCTGAATACCCCATAAGCAGATATCGAATTCTCCGGTACCCAGTACAGATCGTTGATCATCGACATTCACATTGGAATGCTTGATCAGCGGGAATTTTCCCAAGGTCTCGACGTTGATCGAGTGAGGCAGATCCATCACTAGGGAAGTCGAATCGGATTAAAAGAACGGCTTAAAGCCAAGACGTCATCAGAGGGATCGTTGATACATTTGAAGGATTGTTAGCCATCCAGACATAAGTACATAGTTGAGTATAGAAATGCAAATGAAATCCAATCCTGCGAAGGTAGCTTAAGAAAAAATAGGCAGAAATGATAGTAAGACATTGAATCGACTCTATGGGAGTTCCACAATGCCTAAGCCCCGCCTTTGAATGAATTCCATTGAATCATACTCATAGACATCGAAGCTCATCTGAGCCTGACCTAGTTGGCCAATGATCGATCTATCTGGCGTCTGAACCAGTGGTTCTTATCTTGTTCGTCATGAACCCTGTTGCTGGAACTCGCCGACTTTCATGAAGGTTAAAAAGGTTTTTGCCAATATCCCTTTTCGATGATTATCAATCAAAGTGGACCAGCACGATAAAAAGACAGCAAATCAAATGGATGTGTATACACCAGCTTTATGCATGGCCAAATTACTAACCATATATCTGATGAGCACCAAGTACAACAGTCCGGCTGATTATGCACGCACGTCCAATCCAATCGACCTCTGCTGCTCCCTGATCGAATCCATCAACACGTTCAAGTCCTTCTCGGTGTCCTCCCACTCCTTCTCAATAACGATCTTCGCGCGCTCGCTGCGTGGCACAAACAGCGCCGCAAAAGGATCCGGCACCGACACAAACCCTGAGTTAAACGCCATATCGTCAATAGCCTTCGGCCTTCCATCCACGCCCATTAACGCCCATTACATTTCGAATGTCAAAACCCCACAGAATTCGCGCTATAAGAATGAAAATCGAGTTCCGGGCAATGTGTCGCCCAGTGCAGACCCGTCTTCCGTACCCAAAGAAGTTAGTAAAGCGCCCTTCAGGCTCGGAATTCAGCCAGCGCTCGGGATGAAACTCCATCGGGTTCTCAAAGTGGCCCTCGTGCATACTCATGGACCAATGTAACGCAACAATGGTCGCTCCTTTGGGGATCTCGTAGCCTAAATAAGTGTCTTCTTTTGCGGAGGCGTGAGGTACACCGCCAGGAACGATGCTTCGCCAGCGTAGGGTTTCTTCTATCAGAGCTTGGATGTAGGGCAGGTTCTCCTTGTCCGACAGTGTAGGTAGTCGATCCGGTCCAACCACATCATCGAGCTCTTTTTGCGCTTTGGCGATAAAGGAGGGATAGGCCAGTGCAGCTAGAACGAACACCCGCATGACGGTCGCGGTAGTCTCGTATGCTGCATCCGTGAGGATACCCACATCGTACGCGAACTCCAGCTTATCCATTTCTTGCGCCTGCTTGGTCTTGGCGAACTCTTTGGTCCAATTCCAGGACTTGCGTTTCAGCCCGATATCCATGTTTTTGAGGTGCAGCGCGGCCTCAAGCTGGAACAGTTCCTCTGCGGTGCGTTTCCACGGTGCTAGACACGCAGGCAAGTGATTCAACAGAGGAATGGCATCGATAATCCACGTCCCCGGACGCGCGGCGTAAGTAAAATTATGCAGGATGCGCCGAAGGTCCTGGATGTCCTGCTCGTCGCCGGTGGGCAGCCGGATCCCGTATGCGAGACTGTACCCCAGACTGGAGGAAAACCGCTCGAAATGCTTACAGAAGTCGTTGGACGAAAGCAGATCATGCAGAAGCTGTTTACTTTCCAGATCTTGGAGGGGGAAATATGTCGGCGACGCACGTGGACTCAACACTGGGGCTTCCATGCGCTGATGCAGCCGGTACCGCTCGTCGTACTGCCGCATCAGCAAATGCATGCCCTTTGTCAAGTTCTCACCTGCCATGACCATCCGCGGCCGGTCGCTGTAGATGCTGCCCCGTTTATCGAGCAGTTCACGGGCTATGTTAGCGTCTGCGATGAGAATCATGGTTTGACGGCCGAATTGGGCGCTCATGAGCGGTCCATACTTCTTGCTCCATTGGTCATACACTCGCCAGGGATGATCTTTCGGGACTTGATGAATATTGCCAATGAGTGGGAGGCGACGTGGGCCTGGGGGCAGTTTACGGCCGCGATGATATTCGAACAGGAGACGAAGGATTAGAAGGAACGCAATCCCTGACAGTATATTATTCAAAGACATGTTTAATCTTCGGTACTCTGATGATCGACGAGGGTGGTCAGAATCAAGCTCAAAGTTGCCGTATGTCCAAAAGGTAGGTCTGAAGGGGACCTTGGAGACAGGACCCGTCTTTTATGTCATCGCGCTGAGACTACAGTCGCAACTTAGGTACTAGCCATAATCGACCCCGCTCTATTATCATCAATTCAAACATTCGTCTCACAATTGCATTCGTCGCAGAGCATATGCTGGCCGACAGACCATGCCCAGAGTAGCCAATCTCTTTCTCTCTTCTGGTCACATATAGGTGGAAAATAACTTTAACCGAATGCAATGCTGTTTCGCAACTGCAGCTCGGGGCGGGGTTGACGTTTGACACTATTTAATCCCTGCCAAACGGTTAGCCCACCGCTGCATATGCCTATCTTTGCCTTGTCATTGGATGTAAATGTACGATATGCTGTGGGTGCTTGCACTATGCTGCAGTCACCGTTGCGTAAGTGACGTTCTGCGTTGGGCACCATGCATGTCTAGCTTTAGCAGTGTCTGAACCTTCGCGGCCAGGTCGACGGTCGTCGGCATATGTGCGCAGCTCAAAGTTGAGGAAGCCCTTATCTGGAAGGCGAAAAGACTTGATTTGTGCTGCCATGATGATCAGTCAAGCGTCCAACTTTATATTCGTACGACCTTTATCATAACGGAGGAATCATGGTTAGTCCGACCATTTGACTCTGATTTTGGGAGATTCTCACCATTTCGGCACGGAATCTCCGTCAGCTTTTCCAATGAGATATCAGTGTCGCGTCTGTCGTTAAATCTGTAGTAAGGAAGGATGGCACCTCTGTAATACCCTCCATGATAAAATCACAGGTGACCGATAAGTCCATGTGATGATTGCCGCGAGCATTCGGCCTGAGTCCGATACTAGGTTGTTCTGTCTCAGGTTTAAAGCTGACCTTTAACGCTCAAGTTATTTGTTGTCTAGTAGTAACATTGGTGGGATATCTGCAGACCACACAGGGCTTTGAGACGGCCTCGAGACTTGCTGGACATGAGTGCGATGCAGTTCTGCATGTATCGTTTTGTGTGTATCTTCAATTGTGACTGAGATCGTCGCGGAAGCACCTGGTCGAAAGGTCAATCTAACCATAAACGGTCTGCGCTTGAAGTCTGTAGGGTGGGGAAACCAGGTAGATTTTTAAGTATCAGGCAACCTCCACTATCACTTCGAGTCGACACTTCTCCAATGTATGCTAGGAAGGCTACACAACCAACCGTATCTTTAATTTATCCCCTGGACAATCTCCTCCCTCCTCTGCAGCAACTCCTCCATATCCCATGTAACACTTATAAACCTCCCACCCAACCACTCCCTCCTCTCCTGCATTACCCAACTCATAGCACCCCTAGCAAGCTCTGCTGTATCTGGTAGAAGTCTATATAATACCTTAATCTTACTCACCAGCTCTGTTAGCACACTGCTAGGGTGAATCACATATGCCGATATCTCCTCACCCACATACTCAGCCACTATAAACTCCGTCAACTACAGCACAGTAAACTTACCTATCTAATACACTAAAGGCTGAAATTGGACATGTTCAAGCAGTTACAGTAAGCCCTGTTATACTGCATAGCGAGCCCCGATATAACGAGAACCCTCCATGTAGCGAGAGAACATCCGTGCCAAAATGGATTGCATCAAAATAACAAGAAATCTCGCCATTACGTGAATCATTTATTTTCACTGAAACAGCAATACAAATTTCGTTATAGAGTAGAAACCTTTATTCCAGTTTATTACTAAATACGCCACCTTAGTTCCTAATTGATCCCATCATCCTTCCTGTAATCCTGTTCGTCTATCTAACTACCGCTTGCATGTAGTTTTAGAGTCCGCCAATAGGCAGATGGCTGAGCCAGATAGTTTAATCTAGGTAGCGTCTTAGAAGCTACCTTACGTAGGAAGCAGTCACGATCGTAGGTTCAGAAATTACCAGTATTTTATATATAAATGGTAAATTAATGAAGGTGTGATTCTTCTGGGGAGTGGCTTTTCTAGGTGATATATGCTTAGCGCGATTCGGGACGAACCTTTCCAATGGGGGCCTTAGTTGTCACGTGCGATCCACCGGCGGCACGTCGCCGCTAAGCCGCTTGCTTCGCTTAAATAATAGTCAGGTAGTCCTGGATTCTAAACGCACAGAGTACGGAGTAGAAATAATAGAAGGGGTAATCTACTTATTACTCCGATGTGTAGATTGGTGCAGTAGGCCCAAGTGCTAGTGCTGCCCTCCGATAAGCACCGAGGTTACATGACCCTTCAAGTCTTGGCTCATCCGTTGCCATGGCTTCAAAGGGTATAAGCGAGGTTTGGCTACAGGTTATTCCCATCCTGCCTGCCAGAACACAAGGGGTGGATGCTGCATGCCACCACTTATCTATCAACGAATGGTCTGTCGGCTACTCCTGACATTCCCCAACATGTGCCAAGATTGTCTACTCGAGTATAGTATTGCTCCTTCAGCAAATCAAAAACCAGCGACATATTACTGTGAAACAAGCTTGTTCGGGCTAACGGGGATCTTGACAACCTAGGCCCAAGTGCTAGTGCTGACCTCCGATAAGCACCGAGGTTACATGACACTTCGAGCCTTGGCTCATTAGTCCGTGCTCTCGGGGTTCACCGAGTTAAGGCAGAGCAAGCCACGAGTCTTCCCCCTCGTTCAGCGGCGCCGAATGCAGATCCTTCTCTTGAGCGTTGGCATTCTCTTGAGACCGAAGTAGTGATTACAGAATTAGGAAATCCTTTCTGTACATTTGTGCAGTGTCCCCTTCCTATTAGGATCAATCACCACAGCCAATAACAACCCTCAAAGGAATCAACAAAACACGAGCAAAATGTCTGGTGCCTACGCGCAAGCACGAATGAATCATCAAGTCTCCTCCCAGCCTCGGAAAGCACTGAGGGGCCCGGATCGCCCCATCGCCTTGCGTCAAGAGTACGTCACCGACTCGAAAACAACCCTCGTCCTCAGTCCCCAAGGCGACGCCCAGTCGGTGACGGCGTACAAAGCCAAAGACGAAGATGGACGGACTATCTTCACCGCGAGCGGGTGGAAATACAATAATGGCTCATGCCGAGAGTTCCGCGATGCCTCTGGCTTGCCTCTCTTTGAGCTTCACAGAAAGATCTCCCTCAAAAGCGCATGGTACATTACGCTGCCGGGAGGTGATCGTGAAGTTACATTAGCGACAGGCGCTCCCCGACTTGCGCCTGCATTTGGAAACTTCAGTATCTCATTGCAAAATAGGGCGTCGGAAACAAAGTCAGAAGCTGACAAGGAGCTGACGCTCATTGTTGAGCGGCATGGGCGCGTTTTGCAAAGCTTCGATGTTATCGATGGTGACAGAAAGGTAGCGGAAGTGTGCGAGAGTATACGTCACAACGATAAATTGGCACTGAAGCCTAGTTCGCGGAGGGGCCATCGGCCTGCCCTGGATGTTGTTATATCTCCTGGGGTGGATATGTCATTGGTAGGTTTTTAACCTAAACCGCTACATGCGCTGACTCTATCAGGTTGCGGTTATTGCCGTCATTGCCTCGGATAGCGTCTATGGTACAGAATCCAGCTGAGTTTTTAGGGTTAGCTGATGGCATCGGTTGAACATTCTTGTGGATCAGTTCCGGTCTATCTCTATCATACATTCAATGGGCTTCTTTCTGCAGTCATGTTCCCGGCGTAGGCTCTCTGCATCGTTTTCCTCCAACCTGAAGTTGCAGGTTGTTACAGAAGCCGTGCGTTGGCTTTTGTGTTTGCCAGGAGAACTTGTCTTGGAACTCTTGCTCCCAACATGCTGCGGTGCACACGGAGTCAAAGCCCAACGGGTCTAATGTAAAGGTCCTTTGTAAGGAAGACGGAAAGGTTAATGAGTTCGCCAGTAGCTTTTCAAATATCTTAGTGTAGCTATTAAGCTTATTACAGCGTCTATTTTATTCAACTTATGGGCATCGTTTAAAATTACTACTCAAGTACTCTTTATTCGTTCTGCGATACTCTAGCTTGGAGAGCGGTGGATATTTTGAATGGAAATGAACCCTCAGGCAGATAATTCAGACCCTTGATAACACCACAGGGATTACATGGTTACATGTCGGACGTCAAAGATCATTGGAATTTATCATTGTAAATACAGCTAAGCGACTTTCAGGAGGGTTGCCTCACCTCCTAAGGTACTGACCTGGAGTGCTTAAACAGCCGCAGCGCTCAGGACCCTTGTCTATCCCTTAGGCTGGTGCTGCGCCCGTACATTTGTGGGTCTACATGTTTACTTAGTGAGCCATTCCATGCTATCAGGAGAGACCCCATATCCGGGACTGGGAGGACCTCTTCTCCCTACACAATGCAATGATTACAGCTGTTGCTCGTTGGAACAATATAGGAGATGGTAAAATTGAATATCCAGTCAAATTCACAGAGAAAGAACTGGAACAGCACCAAAGCAAGATGGAGCTAATCAAAGGGGCCTCAATGATCTTTCACCAGCTACACAACGATGGGCTTATCTCTCTTGGTGGAGTGGTTTCTCCAGAGCGATATGAAGATGCCAGGAAATGGAATGAGTATTTCAAGCAGGAGTTTATCAATCTAGCTGAAGAGGTGAAACAAAGAGAACTACATGCAAAAGTCTGGCCGTATTAAAGAGAAGTACTCAGAAGATTAAAATTGAATTCAACTACGCATCCTGAGTTCCCTAGAGATATTTAGCTGTTCTGCTGCAGTAACTATATATGGAAGCCCTTTTTTGTCAAACTTTAATTAGGCAAGATATAGGAGGTACCGATTAGATCCTGCGATAACACATCAACATATTGCCTAGATAGCCATTGTGGCGCCTCCCGCCCCCATACTTTACCATTAATTGATTGAATTTACGTAAGGCTGAATCTGCGGCCGCACGTGCATGAGGACCCCAAAAGCACTGCGAGATATGACAGGTACGTCATCACACATTAGTGCAGGGGGCTTGGATAAGCTATTCGTCTCACTGCGTTGATTGTGCTGCTTACTTGCACATACTTAATTGTAAATTGTTGTTGTCCATAGGCAGTCTAATCAAGGTTCCAACTTCGGCCCCAATCCATAAGTACCGGCCCCCACCTGACGCCACCCTCATGGGGCCGGAACGCAGCTCCACATGGAGTACACAAAGCCCAGCCCACGGGACGGAATAGCCCTAACTTCAACTTTCCTGAGCTACGTCTATACAGTATATGTTAGAGATCTGCATTGAACGAAAGCATTCCATCAATTCCTATCTACCTGCAACAAATGGACATTCTGGCTGAATCCAGTACACATTCAATCCGGCCCCAGGCCAGCAATCTCCTGTTTAATCCTTCACCGGGCACAAAGCAAACTCACCCGCCGGCGCCCCGTCATGAGTCATAACACCACAGTACGAGCCATCCTGCGTAGGATTGGTATCGGGATTGCTCGAATGGATGAAGAACACCACCCGGTCCGCGCCGGGGTCGCCACCGCCGTAGATACTATCCCCGTGCAGGAGGGGGAACTCGTACAGCGTCTTGCCCTTGCATTCCTTGGCGAAGTCTAGCTTGCGGTTGTTGCCGAAGGTGTGAGGGTAGCCGCCTGGAAGAGGTCAGTGGTGGTAGAATGGCATAATGAGGTAAAGCTGCAAACCTGGTTGGGGCTCGTTGGTTGGGGTGGTGTTGATGCCTCGCTGGATGGCTTTTTCGACTTGGGCGCGGCTGTAGCGGTAGCCTGGGCACTCGATGAACTGGTCACTTGGGGGAAGGTTATCGACGGTGCGCTTGCTCAGAGAATCGGCAATGGCAGGGGCAGGGGCAGCAGAAGTGGTCTGCATGAGGGCGAGGCCCAGGGTGAGAAGGGTGAAAGGTGAAAGCTGCATTGTGATGGAATTTGGAACTTTGGAGACAAGAGATGACTGTAGTTGCCTGTTGAGATGGTGGATAGAGATAGAGAGCAATGGACAGCTGGAATGGGGCAATTTATACCTTTGTGAGTGTGCTTCTGGAGGATAGACCAGCGATTGTACAGAACTTGATAACCAGCATCATGCTTGATTTCAACGCTGCCAAGATGGACGATGTAACTCGAATTGACATCATGATAGACCGCTCTGCCTGTACAGGCCTCTTTCGAAGGGTTATCTCACGTATGAATGCCTTGGCCTACATGGCGCAGCATCTTGTCCTCCTCGATTGAGGAAAGATGTTCCTGGCTGACATCTAATCAGACCATCATATCATGATCATTGACCAGACAAATGACTTTCGATTGTTGGATTCTCAGCCTTGTACCTCAACTAGGTCAATCAGGAACTCTTGCAGGTACTTACTCCTCCGTGTAAGGCCCCCAAAAGTGGCTTGGTTCGAGTCCCTTGCCTAGAATAGCCAGGTAGTTATCAGTTATCCTATCACAGCCGATTACTTTTGTTGCTTTCAATGAGCACTCAACGGGGCTATGCAGCCGTGGACTGATTCTGACATCGGCCCAGCGGCATATCTAGGTAAACTCACGTTGGATGATGCAATAAAGGATTGAGAACAGGTATGAGGAATAATTTCCAACATGGTAAGCGAAAAGAAAGACGTTGATTCGAAGAGCAAATATCTTGGCTGCATGGACTCCAACCCTAAAGCCGTAAGCGGCGGATGCGGCTGTGCTTATGCGGGGTGGCACATTATGCAGGCGCGATGACGCATAATGGGACAACCACCTAACTCGATATTTGAGTCATGTTATTTATATTTTGACGATAAGATAAAGGCATCAAGAGTTAAAACCACCAGAAACTCACACCAAAGAAAACATCTAACTTCTTCAACTTTCCACCTTCCACCTCAAAATGACCACTATTCTCGATATCCCAGGCACCAACCCCCCAAATCCATTCACCACGCCCATCCAAGCCCTTCTCACCACTACCAACCCATCCTCGACTCCAGACGAGACAGCAGCCCACCTCGTCACCGCAGTCAACACCTCTCCAGACCCCGCCCACGCCCTCTGGCAACTCTGGGACGCCTTCTTCACCGCCGTCGCCACCTCAACAACACACACCCCACACCTCGCCCTCCTCGATGCCCTCCGCGCACATCCACCAACACAACCTACCAACGTCCGCGCAGGCTCCGATGCCCAGCGCAACCTCCGCAGCTACACCAGCCCCGACGGAAAGCTGAACTGGGAGTCTCTGCCCCGCTTCAGCGCGCAGTGGCGCGATGTGCACGATATCCTCGAGGCCTGGCGCGACTGGGACGGGGTGCGTGATTCTACCTCCCATGCCACTACTACTACAGTAATCAGCGGCGCAGAGTACTTTCTCCACTTCTGCAGCTTCTCCGCTGCGCTGCTGAAAGCGACGAACGGGAAAGGCGGGGTGCATCCTGTCTGGGTCTTTTATGCGTGTCGTGACGTGCTGGAGTGTGAGCGACTGGATCGGGATCGGCAGCCAAAACCGCACAGGATGCCGCTGGAGGAGGTCTGGGCACTCGATGTCCGGGTGGCGGCGACGTGGGTCCGGCATGGGGCGCGGGCGCTATGGGAGGCGGACCACGAAGAGCTTCGGCGGCATTGGGCTGCGGCGTTGGATGAGAGGACGGAGTTGTGGCCGAGAGAGGATGGGCTTACGAGGGAGCGGTGGCAGTTGTGGGAAAGAAGGCTGCGGGAGTTGAGTGCTGAGGGGGAGGTTCTGGATGGGGAAACGAGGGCTGTGGTTGCGGAGGCTGCTGAGGTTGTTAGTGGTCTTTTGAAAGAAGACTAACGGATCTATCTCAACTACAGCTTGAGTCCGGCTGAACGGGGGCTGCTGGAGCTATTTTCTTTGTCTGTATTATGCGCAAGTTATATCACAAACTAGTATGATGTATCTAAGACTACTCTAGCTTACATTTTCAAATTCATATGCAAAGAATAGAAAGGACTTTATTCTCAAGCACAAGATCAAATTAGTAGACATCCAGCCACTGCTGTTTTCCGCATGGCTGAATCTCAAAAGTGAGACACTTCCTAGCAACTGACCGAAGCACATCCAATTTCAAGTCATCACACCCACCCTAGGAGACCCTCACTGGTCAAAGACTTTCCTGCAAACGCGATGAATCCTCCAACAACCGCCATGGCACCGCTAAACATGCAAACCTGAAAGAACCCTCCCGATGCATCGAAGATGGCCCCGTTAATGGGCGGCCCGATCAGCGCCCCCAGGCCAGCCACAGCCATGCCCATACCCATATAAGTGCCGACATCCTGCGGGTCCTTGGGACAGCTCGCAAAGGCCGCCGACGCGCTGGAGATGATTGTGCCGGAGGTGAAACCGAAGAAGACGGCGTAGACGATCAGGCCAGCATTTGTGGTCGCGGAGGTCATGCAGAGGACGATGATTCCCGTGGCGACACCGCCGATAGCGAAGGTGTTGAGGCGGCCGTACTTGTCCGCGAGAATCCCGGGGATGATCCGGCCGAGGGTCGAGGTTGCATTGACAATGGCGAGCAGGTACCCGGCCAGCGCCGTGTGCATGCCTCGTGTGGTAGCGTATGTCGTGAGGTAGAAGAAAGGAGTGAACATGCCGAAGAACATGAAGAACAGGGCGACGAAGAGGGTGATGAAGCGTAGGTCCCTGTAGGGCGATAGGAGGAAGAGGCGAGTCTTCCGAGGCGGCAGGCGCGGCTTCACGGCCACACTGGCAAATGCCATGAACGGCAGGATGATGAAGCCCACGATGCGGACTGTCCATGCAAAGCCGAGCGAGGAATCGTTGAGCATCTTGGACAGGATGATCGGTAAGATGATCCCGCCGATCGAAGAACCGGACACCGCAAGACCCAAGGCAGCTGCGCGTTTCTTGTCAAAGTACTGTGACACGGCGGCGAACGCTGGGATCTGCAGGAAACCCATGACGATGCCCATCAGGACGCCTTGCACCAACATAGTCTCCCAGTATGTTTTGCACAAACTCAGCATCATGAGAGCAAACACGTAAGCTACAGACGAAGGGTAGATAACCTGTTGCATCATGTCAGATTACAATCTCATTTCTAAAAGCAGTTGCTGTCAGGCGTCAGAAACTGGGGGAAGCATACTATGGAGCCATAGCGGTCGAACAGCGGACCGCCAAGCATACCGGCAAAAAACTGGAGAAAAGACTGCAGTGATCCAATCCAAGATATCTTGGACGCCGAATCCCCCTTCAGTTGATGACTCAGGTAGTACTCTTCGAATGTGCCAAACGAGTTTGCGAGGCCGAGACTGCACAAGAAGATCGATGCAGCACCGCCAGCGACGAGCCAAGCGCGGGTCCCGCCATCGGGTGCTGGATTATTTCCAGGCGCGTTGACGTGTGTATTTCGAAGCTCGTGGTCTTTCTCACTATTGATATGGTGATGTGGTTGTGGTCCCTCGTGGGAGGAGAGTGACAGGTCAGTTGTTGAGGACGTCATGGCGCAGTAGGTCGAATATGATGAATTCAACAGATGGAATCTGTGCTTTTGATCAGGAATTAGCAGTGAAAGAGGTTTGGATCTGCTGTCACTGTGTAAGGCAGACAGCATTGCCTTCAAATACTGTTCAATACTCCCTACTCCCTGCTCTTAGGGCAAACGGAAATAAAGCGGGACCGGGCGGACTCGGCTTTACCTTTCCGGATTTGGCAAAGTTGGGCCGAATTTCTATCCGTGAATCAATCGTCATCCATCCCTCCATTCTTTCACCTTTCATCCAATTATCATGTGCTGCTCAACTTGAAACCTGCCATGTATTGCTGAATTCCATGACCAGACTGCCTCTATCATCTTGTCTTCATGTCAAAATTCATGATCCTGTCCGAGGGTCGGCGCAAAAGGCCAACAGTGTCATGTACTCTGTGTCGGAGACGCAAAATCCGATGTAATCGAGAGAGACCATGCAGCAATTGTCTGCGGTCTAGAAGCGGCACTTGCGTCTATGAGAATCACAGTCCTCGGCCTCACTCTCTTGGCCAATCCCCACAGCACGCTGGTCAAGGTCTCACGGTCGAGAGGGATGAGTCGATGCAAATAGGCAGTGCATCCGGAGATAGTCTCTCAACTCCGCCGAGCCACTTACTGAGCTCAGTGGCGGCCGACACTTCGAATGTATCGAGGCCTCTGAGTGAGCATCCTAGTCAAGATGCCGAGATGACACGGTTGAAACTAAGGATTCAACAACTTGAGAATCAGCTGGCCCAAGCAAATGCTAGGCCCATAAACCAGCCGTCCCATGATTTAGATCTCGTCTCGGATATCGAGACAATGAGCTCACGTCTGAGCGGAACGCTTCACATCCATCGTAAGAGAGGCGCATCGGGCCAGCCAGAGCCCATTCCTTATAACGTGAGCCTCAAGACACGCTTGTTCGGCCAAAGTCATTGGGCCGTCAGCGGTGTCTGTCTGGTGGGTGCACACACAAGCTTCCATTTTAATTCATCACCGTCTTCATCGACATTATTCGGAAACTAAACTGCAATTAGGTTCGCGACATCTTCAATATACTTGAGCCCTACCTTTGTGATGAATCGTCTCTGGCCTGGATAGGCATCAAGAAGTGCAAAGACTTGGCTCGGTGCATCAAAGCGGCACGAGCGCCTGCATGGCCTTCATGGCCTCCACTCCCGACATCCACACTGCCTGCTAAAGAGATAGCGGACGCACTCGTAGATAATTATCTACGAACAACTGAGGCTATCTATCGAATCCTACACGTCCCCGCCTTTCGCAGGGAGTATGAAGAGCTCTGGATGTCGAATGAAAGGCCCGACATGGCCTTCTTGATGCAGGTTAAGCTTGTGCTTGCCCTCGGCGCTGTCACCTACGATGACCGGTTCTCGTTGCGGGCCTCAGCCATCCAATGGGTCTACGAGGCTCAGCTTTGGATCTCAGGTCCAAAGTACAAGTCAAGGCTGAACATCCAGTCCCTCCAGGCCAACCTCCTACTTTTGTTTGCGCAGGAACAGGTTGGGTTCACTGGAGATTTACCTTGGGTATCGGCCGGCGCTCTGCTGCGGAAGGCGATCTACATGGGCCTGCACAGGGATCCCGGCCGCCTAACCCAGATGACGAATTTTGTAATAGAAATGCGCCGACGACTCTGGAACACAATTCTCGAGGTCAATCTGCAGTCTAGTTTGACCTCTGGTAGTCCTTCTTTACTCTCTCTCAACGACTTTGACACGGCCCCTCCTAGCAACTTTGACGATGAGCAGCTCGAGACTCAGGATCCAGTTCCGAGACCGGAAGGAGACTTCACCAAAGTGTCCATGGCGGTTGCACTCCGCAGAACCTTCCCCTATCGCCTTGCTGTGGTTAAATTCTTGAACGATTTGACCTCTCCCGGCACATATGAGGAGACACTCCGGCTCGATGCGGACCTGCGAGAGGCGTATCGCATGCTAGCACAGACGCTGCGAGCATGCACCAGCTCCGGCGACGGCCCCTCTCAATTTGAAATTCAGGTCGTGGATCTCCTCATGCACCGTTACTTTTGTGCTCTGCACATTCCGTTTTTCGGTCAGGCACGGCACGGGACCGCCTATGTCTTCTCACAAAAGACGGTGGTCGAGTCGTCGCTTAAAGTGTGGCGAGCGGTGTGCCCAACCCCGTCGCCGATGACCGTTTCTCTCACCAGCGACGCAGCTCCCTTGTACAGTAACGACCTGCCGCGGCTCGTTTCCTGCAGCTCTGGCTTTTATCCGACCGTGGCCATACATGCTGCATTTCTAATTGGGATGGAGCTGTGTACCCAGTTACAGGAGGAAGACGGTCTCTGTCCTGCTCCGTTGCGGCCAGACCTTCTTTCGGTGTTGGAGGACGCAAAGGCATGGTGCTTGAGGGTCCTCAAGGCCGGTGAAACCAATGTCAAAGGCTACTTGCTCATGAGCATTGTTTCGGCACGGGTCGAAGGACTAATGCGCCCTCTTGAAGATAAGGAGGTTACCAGGCTACTGGTCAAAGCTGTTGAGACTGTTGGAGAGAAATGCTTTCCAATCTTAGAAGAGATGGCAGCCTCGATCCAAGAGCAGAGGGGAGGGCCAGTGGACGACATGGCAGACGAGATGACGAAGGACTGGAACTTTCCAGTGAGTGTGTCTCCATGTTCGCAAGTACTTTCCGGTCACTGGCTGACTTGGCAGATTCCTGACGTACCTTTCAACCCGAGTGACACCGAGCCAATGAGCTGGATCTTCAACGAAGATTTTGATCAGGGGTACTTGGAATTCTAGGAAGATCATAGTGAGGATCACTCCTCTACCTAGACCCTTTCATATTTGGCAGTTCACCTATGGGATTTCTCACATGCGACGACCAGCCTCTCAAGATCTGGAATATTGTACCCAGAAAGATCTCTATAATTTAAACGCGTGGCGAGCATGATCTGAACACAACTCTCCGTGTCTCTGAGCAGCATCGTTGCAGCGTGTTATTGCAGTAGGTTTATTTTACGTGGGCCATCTAGGCCTCGAATAATTATTTTACTCACTTGCCTTCAACCCCTTCCCAATCCCATGGCCGGTTACCGATGTCTGGTTCTTCCGTTGCGAGATCCCACAGCTCAACTGCGCCGTTCGCAATTTCCTCGGGACCGAAAAAGACATCATGAATCTCTCGCTTAGCCGGCTTCCCAGTGGTTGTGGTTGGCACTGGGTGGTTGTGGGGAATGACTCGTAGCATCGTTGGTAACTTGAAGAAAGGGAGCCCCTGGTCAATCGCCAGCCACCGACGCAAATTCGCGAGTTGCATGCTGTTGCTATCGTCCCCAGTTGATTCGGTTTTAACGATCAGGGCAGCAACTCGTTGGTCGGTTTTATGGTCAGCAACGCCAATAACATACGCCCGCGAGACTTGTGGATGATGGCGAAGCGCTTCTTCAATTTCCGGGGCGTTAAGTTTCCAGCCAAGAAAGCGGATCACTGTGATATTCAACCCTTGATGAGTGACTTTCCAAGCCGATAGAGAGATATTTGATACTGACCATCCTGAGACGCCCGACCCAGGACAAATATCTCCCGGTTGGGTCCAATGCTGCCCAAATCACCGGTCTTGTAGAATCCCTCCGAATCAAAAACACCTTCCATGGCATGTGGGTCGCTGGAAAGGTACCTATCATTGAATTATATGAGAGACATATTCTATATTCTTTTCTGCATCGACCACTCGGACTTACCTCTTCATAACCAATGGACCCTTGACACATAACTCTCCCTCATCGTTCACCTTTACCGTCAGAAGCGGTATGCAGTTTCCGCAATAATTCTATTAGCATCCATCAGCCTCGGTCGTTTTATTTCCGTTGTGACCATACTGACAGCTGGGCCGTCCGTGTTTGATTTCCAGTCCATCATGGAAATCATCCCTACCACCTCTGTCATCCCGTACAAATTGACCAGCGGTCGTCCACCGCGCAACTCCCTCCAGAAACCCTTGACCGATTCGGGAACTCTCATGGATCCAGTACATAGGAGCCGCAGGTCACGCAAGCCCCGAATAGCTTGCTCATATTCCGACAGGGGCTGTGTGTTTCGTATGACGTCAAGACTCTCACTCAGCATGTCCAGAAGGGGCGTTGGGGCGACGGCGCAGGTGATGCCTCCTTGTTGCATGCGCTGCCAGAACCACTGCGGGCTGAACGCGCCGGCACAAAACTCAAGACACGTCCCGGAGTAGATACACGCGGTGAAAAAGTCAAACCCCCCTTTCCAATTAGTCGGCACTTGATGGAGCCAAGTATCTTCCGGTGAAAGGCCAAGGGCTCTCTGGTAGGCTTGGACAGCGAGATATGCGCTGCGACGGGAGAGGAGCACTCCCTTTGGAGGGCCGGTTGTGCCCGAAGTCCAGAGAACAACAAATCCCTTGTCTGGATTGCATGGGGTGCTTGCTTGTTCTAAGACGAATTCGGGATGGGCTGGCGTGGGTTGGCTGCCTGGTGTAAGAACGAAAGGCTTCATCCCGACTGGAGCAGAGAGGTTTCTTGCCTCATCTGCTGCAGCTTGAGTGGCAGTTATAAGAGCGATCTTGCAGACTCGGAAGAAATATTGGGCTTCTTCCAGGTGAATTCGCGATACTGGTACAGGGGTAATCAGTAATTGGACAATGTGATAAAGAGTGGAGGAACACTGACAGAGAGGAACAGCCACCGCACCAAGGCTATAGATGGCGAAGAAGAGTACAGCAAATTCATAGCCTGCACCGCCAAAAATAGCCACAAAAACATCAGAGTCAGGATCACGAAGTCGTTTGTGGGATTCTTCATCGAGTTGGTTGGATATGAAATCTCGCTGGATCAAAACATCATACAGGAACTGCCCGACGGTGGCCTCAGTGCTTGTGGCCAGGTCTCTTATAATTATGGCATCTGGCGACTCCTGCCAGCGCTGGAAGAGCTCAATGAAAAAGGGCTCTTGGGGAACCCGCAAAAACGCATCAGTCATAGTGAGTAGAGATCTTTTGTTGGATGGAGGGTTCCGCTCTTCTTGCCAGAATTGATGATTTCTCTCAGTCATTCGTGTGAGGGGCATTGAGGGATGATCACCAAGACAAGACAACAGCAATTGGGTAGACATGGAGATGATCATGACCCGGATCGGGGTTAGCACGCTGCACACCCCACCGTTCAAGATGGAGTTATTCTTACCCGCGTGAGATCTGCTGCCTCGTGTTTAAATGGCTGTTATATTTTCCTGCGGTATTTGATTGCATATGAAATTGACACTGTATCATGTAAAGCCCCATGCAGCACCAAAAACCCGGCCTGATTTGATTAGACGGATATTACTACTACACTTCAAACACCCATGAAGGTTTCCGTTGAAGTCTTAGGCTGTTGGAAGGTGATCGACACGAATCTTGAGTAGCAGACGCTAATGCCTTTTGGATTTGTTTATGAAATCTCTATAGGAAGGATCTTCTATGGCAACAATCTTGTACTTAGCTGTGCTTTACTTCGTATTGAGTCACGGTTCTGAGGACAAATGAGTATCCGTAACAAGATATCAATCAATCATGCATCTTGATGAGACATGTTAAATATCATTGGTTGGCTGCTACTCCTTTCTCCACCTTGGAGTTGGGAAAAGCGCTTGGGGAAGATCGATCAGATCGGGTCGGGCCGATCGAGACCCACGGCATTAGAAAAAGTTCCACAATAGCTAGGGACCGGTTATTACATGAGCAGCACGTTGACGGAAGGCAAATGATTAGGGAAGGCCCATTTTTCGCGCTTCAAACCGGAAGCCGGAGATCACACTCCCTACATAGGTTCTCCACGATCCCTACAGTTCTGGCTTCATCTCGTGGCAGCCGGATGATGCTGGATCCATCATTCAATCGATACAATCCTTCGGCGGACGGATTTGTCCAATGTCGCGCATACAGATCCCTCTCGATCGCAATGTACCGCAGAGGCGACATCTCTTCCCTGTCTTCTCGTAGCTGTAGATGGTATGAAAACAGTTCATGAACAAGCGAAATTCGGGACTTCTCTTGCTCCCTGTCCAGTTCCCGGTCTTTCTGGAACAGCCGTTCTTTTTCCTCCTCACTCGTTTTGTGGAGATGGTACGGCTCATGCCATGGCTTTTCAAGATCGGACAAGAAAGCTGCCAAATCTGGCCACGGAAGATGAAGGGTATGGAGATTGGGCAGACGAGGAAGGACATCTGTCTTCATGACGTCAAATTCGTCTCGATTATGGATTGGAATGATGAGTTCCTCTAATGCTGTACACCGGGCGACAAATTGTGTTAGCAGGTCCCGCGACTTCTTGAGCATCTCCTTAGAATTGTCCCAGGCCACGGGCCCTGAGTAGCAGAGTCGACGCCATGCGACTCCAGTCTTGTCCAATGGAACCGAATAGATGGGCTCACCCACAAATTCAGGCATGTGGAATTCATGCAAGGGTTCATTTGCAAATTCGGGGCTATCCGGTTGTAGTGTGCTGCCGTAATCTAGTACATCGAGGGCGTCTAATCTCAGAGGTGACTGGACCTCCTGCAGGAGCTGGACAAGGCGTAGAATATCCGGGCCGAATCGCTCCACTGAGATCCTTCTGAGGTTGGTCGCATGTTGAAAAAGGGTCGGGTCTATAGGCTCGTGGGGAACAACCGGGCCCTCGAAGGGAAGGTAGTGCATATTATCGAGTCGTAAGGAAGTGAGATGAGACAAGTCCGTCAAGTCATCGAGATAACCCGGCATATCAAAACGCGGGTTACTCCATGGCATCGTGCCAATTCCCAGGTGTAGGCTTCTAAGTTGAAGAGCTGGCTGCTCAAGTCGCTGTCGGCGCGAGCGAAAGTCGGAGATCACCTTGCAAAGGAAGTCGTTGTCCAGTCCGGCTTCGGGAACGAAGCTGAGCCCTAGATCCCTTAGCCCTGGGGATGCAAGCAGGACTTCGACCACATCAGAGGTTTGGTCCCTCCATTCACGTTCTCCCAGGCGATGAAGCGCGAGTGACTGAAGGTTCTTAAACCTGGGTAGTCTCCATCTGAAATTGCAGCGTGGATTTGGGTGGTGATAGAGCAGGATGGTTTCTAGATGTTGGAGGCTTTGAAGTTCGTGCAGAACACTGCTGTTTTCCAGGCCATCGAGCGCTTGATCCAGGAGGCCCACCCAGTACCCACAGAGTCTAGTAGTCAGCTTTTAGTAAATGTGGTCATCACCGCTGTAGTGTGCATGGAAATTCCTTGGCGGGGTTTCGTGTCGAACCTACTTAAATGATCGTAATCCCGGCATCTGTCGTAAAGATGTTGCCAACAGCTGAAGGAGCTCCTTTGTATTACTAATATCGCACACATCACTCAAGAACTCGATATGATATGCTTGTGTTGGTGCTAAATGACCCGAGTTGACCATTCGGCGCCATTTCGCGATAGTGGGCCCATCGATAACAACCCGCTTGTAAAGGAGGGGTAAGCAGATCGCGCGAAGTCGCTTCGAGATGCATGACAGCACCGCCAGCGTCGCGGGACTAAGCTGAGCGGCTATAGCGCAAAAAATCTCTTCTGGTAGTCTGGTCAGCATGGTAGACAGGGGATAGTTGCGTCGCAGCTCGTGCCGGAAGCAACGGGATGAAATATAAAATTGTGGTCCAGAAGGTTCAAAGCGGTTCAGGCTGATTGCCAAGCGCAACATTGGATCTGTCTGCTACTGGTGGAATTTACTCGTCAGGAACGTCTCTAATCTCCTAGGGTTCGGGATATTTCCTACTGTGGCTAAGTTAGGTTGGATCTATCCAGATGGCTTGGATAGCCGAGTCTGTAAACGGCTTAGAGGTTTTTAATGGCTCTAATGTGACCCCTCTCCGTCCTAATACCGCGCAGCTTCGCGGAAATGACGGGGGATACTTTGCAGTCTCGAAGCCCCAATATGAAAGCTACACTGCAGCCGAGGTGGTGAATGTGAAGACCTATGCTGGAGCTGCTGGTGATGGTTCAACGGACGACACCCATGCTATCCAGAGCACTCTGGATGATCATAAGGGCCAAGATGTTATCATCTTCTTCCCAGCCGGTACGTATATATAGTGACTGATACTGTGGTCATACCCGAAGGTACAAAGATCGTTGGCGAGGTATGGAGTCAAATCATGGCTTCTGGGGATAACTTCGGGGATATGACGTCGCCCCGGGTGATGGTACAGGTCGGTAACGTGGGAGATGTTGAATCGGTGGAGATTCAGGATATGCTCTTCGCTACCAAGGGTGGCACGGCTGGCGCTGTGCTTATGGAGTGGAATATCCAGGCATCTTCTCCTGGTAGCGCAGCCATGTGGGGTGAGACCTATTATTCTTTGGCTGTCGCCTACCTGGAAAGTAAACTGACGGTCTGATATACAGATTCTCATTTCCGAGTTGGCGGAGCCTTGGGAAACGAACTGCAGGTGTCCCAGTGTCCCACCAAATCCACGCCGAATATCAATTCCGGCTGTATCGCGGCTTCCATGCTTCTGCATTTGACATCGTTACCTTCAGCGTACCTGGAAAACGTGTGGGCTTGGACAGCGGACCATGACATGGACGATGCAGCTAACACAATGGCCGATGTTTATTCTGCACGAGGTGAGAAGTTGAATCAACATCTGATGATCTATCCCCACTAACAAACCAAAATAGGCATACTGATCGAAAGTAAGGGCCCAACGTGGCTGTATGCAACCGCGTCCGAGCACAATGTGCTCTATCAGTACGAGCTCTATGAAGCGGAGAACATCTTCATGGGGATGATCCAAACTGAGAGTCCATACTATCCTCCCGTCCCCTCTGCACCCGCTCCGTTTGATAATGCTGTCGGCATGTTCAACGCAGGCCCCAACTTCACCAACTGCAACTCAGACGATGAGAACAGCTGTGCAGTCTCGTGGGCTCTTCGGATGGTCTCCTCCAACGTGCAGATCGCTGGCGCAGGGCTGTACAGTTGGTATCAGGACCATGATCCGGCGGAGGCTTGTGTGGATGCACAAAACTGCCAGCAACGATTGGTATCCACGTACCTCAGCTGTGATATTTGGCTCTACAATCTCATTACAATCGGCGCAACCGAGATGGTCAGCCCTTACGGAACTAATTACTCCCCAGCGCTGGCGGCCGAAAACACCGACGCTACAAGTCATCCGTACTGGTCAACAATAAACGCATGGCTGTTGCTCGCAGACGGCGCAACTGGTAGTGAAACACCTCAGCCCAGCCAGACCATCACTTTGGCCGACTGGTGGTGGGGATTGAGTACTCCGAGTGCCTCGTGTTGGTTCCCCTGCGTCATTGTCCTGCCGCCAGTGATACTTCCTCCCATGCAGGCGCCTGTCATCACCTCCCTAATTAAAGGCGTCCCCAAGACCATCACGCCACCAGCGGCAGAAACACCGACCCTCACAGTGGATCTTATCACCATCTCCGGAACTCTATCCATCTCGAATGCACCTACCAGCACCAGTGTGAGCATTCAGTTCAACAACTCTGCCATCATCTTATCCCCCTTCGAATACACGGATGATGATGATGGCAGCTCGCAAAATATCTCTGGCATTATCATCCCGCTGCCCATCAAAGGACCTCCCCCGCGTTCTAACTCGGATGATGATAGCAGCCCAGGCAGCAGTTCGTCCAACTGCTGGTTACTATGTGACTAGCCCCCGAAGACGTATGTTTTTGACGTCAGACTACCCAGTCGAAGATTTTTACTAACAAGACTTGCATCGATAGCCCCAGCATCAGTATTGGCAACAGCTCTCCGTGGCCCAAGCCGGACACTCCCGAGCCACCGGGCCTGGACAATAACAACAACGACGAGGAGGACGATGGTAGTAGTGGTGGCAGTGAGGAAGGCAGCCAACCGCAGGAGCCCGAGTCCACGAGTACCACCTCAACAACCTCCTCGACGACGACGATGACGACGACGACAACCACAACCTCAATCTCGTCAAGTTGTACGGCGATCCCAACCATAGCCATCGCAACTGACGGCATCTTCTTCAGTGGCACTGGCACCAGCGGTGCCAGCGCCAGCGCATGGGCCTCATCCAATCCAACTGTCACCAACGATCCGGTGTTCGGCGCCGGCGTGCCCGTCGCTGTCGGAGGCAGATATACGCCGACCTCCCCGTATAGCATCGCAACGAACCCGGGTACCTCGAGCAGCACTACCGCCACGCCAACAACCAGTTCAGTGAAAAGCCCGCCCACAGACTCCGCAGGAGGCTAACCCCGCTATGACATCTTGTACTTTGAGGACGACAGCAATCCGGATTCGGCGACGGGGCCGGTGATGCAGAATCAAGGACATGAGTCCTACTCGGACGAAAAGTGCGACGTGTGCAAGGCGTCTGTGGATTGGGAGGCCAATGCCAATACGAATGGGATGCCGGATAGTTTGACGGGCATCACTGTGTTTGGAGATACGTGTGCTTATAGCGACGGCGGAGTGGCAAAGTGCCAGTGACGATGCCGAGGTGGGTAAGTTGACTTGCTCGGAATGGAGTGATGCCACATGTTACAAGGGTCATGTGGAGGGTAGTTGTTTGGGGGATATTCTGGTGGTGGATCTAGTGTATTGCGGATGGGGTACTTGATCGTCGGCACATGGCTATTAGTGTGTTGCTTAGTTTAATATTGACATCTATTAAGCTGTTTAAGAAGGGTAGATCTAGGAAAATTAAATATCACTGCAGCGCGGTGGATATTTGAAATTTCCTTTTTTTTCAAAGCAGATATTGCTAAATTGGATCCTTCCCTTTTGCTCTACTAAATCTCCAGAGGTTCGATGCAATTTTGGTGGCATAGTAGCTGTTTGGATAGGTTGGAGTTGGACGCGTTGGAATCGAATGGGAAAGTGGTGGCTCAGTCGGGTTGGCGGCTCGGTTGGGAATTACGTTAGTTGGAGTATGTCTTGTGACACCCCCTTTTCTTTCACACGGCTATCTGCCTAAGGATGGCCACATGGTGACTGGAGATTGGTGATAGTTACGAAGGAGGCTTACACATGCGGCTGAAAGTAGGAAGGCAGTGCCCTCCTCTTAGTCGTATATGTAAGAGTATTTATTTCCTCGATTTCCGTTTACCATCTTTACCATATATCTTTACCATATATCTTTACCATATATCTTTACCATATATCTTTACCATATATCTTTACCATATATCTTTACCATATAATCTTGTATATACCCTTAAGAAATGGCGGAGTCAATCGCACAGGTTGCGGGCAAGTCGTTATGTATATGCTGCCAAAATATCAACCTAAGTGATCTCAAAAGCGATGAGGGATATATACATCAGTCCACATTCGCTGCTCTTCGTCAAAACTCTTTGACTTGTGCCCTGTGCTATCTAATTATCCAAGCAGCGGATAAAACCAGGAGTGCATGGAAATACCATCGTTTTGTTATCGAGGATAACTCTGGTCCCATAAGATTGAAATCTGGACTAATTCAGGCACAGCGAGGGGAGTACGAGGGCGGCAACTTCTCAGCAAAGAATCGGCAAACGATGGGAAAGGTAGCTATTACAATCGGGATGGACGTCAGTCGCACATTGGCTTTTTCCATCAGTGGGGCGCGACTGGATATGTTCACGGTAAAAGGTATACATGTTCTGGGGAGCTAGAGGAATCTTTGTCAATCGTGGCTGACTATGTATGTCTTTGCCTTGATTTCAGGGTCCAACGCGGAGAGAGCCGGCGTCCCAGTTGCACATTTGGTCGACAGTTGCGCAATAACTCAGCGGAATATCCATTGCCTTAAACAGTTATTGCAAACATGTCATACGCACCATCTTCACTGCTCTCTCGACCTCTCTACAGAGCTTATGAAGATGCATGAAGAGAAATTCAGGAGCTCCGGAAGACCAAGGCGGCTTGTGGACGTCACAATGAATGATAATACCAAAGTCAGAGTAATGGAGGTTACTGGCTGCCCAAAATACGCGACACTCAGTTACTGCTGGGGCTCGTACCCACAGTTATGTGCGACTAGGGAGAATTTGTCACAGTTAGAACAGGGACTGAGTATTTCAAGCTTGTGCCCAGCAATTCAAGATGCTATATGTATCACGCGTCATTTGGATATCCCATATCTGTGGGTTGATGCTCTCTGTATCACCCAGGCCAAGAATAATGAGGCAGATTGGGAAAGTGAATTGCAAACAATGGGTCTTATCTACGCACAGTCTTACGTCACAATTTCTGCGGCAGCAAATGATGATTGTGGAAAGTCATTCACTTCGCTACGGAAATCGACTTTTATAGCGACACAATCTTGCAACTACCTGCCCTCAACCAGCACAGATATGTTACTCTTTCGTCTCCCATTGTTTGACTTTGCAGAGGAATTCGAACGTGATGTTTGCCAAAGTACACTGTCAAATCGAGCCTGGGTTATGCAGGAGCGGATGCTTTCCCCACGTACTATATACTTCACGCCAACACAAATATATTGGGAATGCAGGAGCTTCTTCTGGGCCGAAAATGGAAATGCGTGTGAATCACTGGGCTATAACGGCTATCGACCAGCGACGTTATTCATAAATTCATTACGCAACTTAGAAACTGCAATGTTGAAATCTGGAGAGTCATGGGTTCAAGATAACGCAGTCTCTATGTTTCTGCGGTCATGGTGTGATATTGTTGCTCACTACTCGACGCTGAAGTTGACGTATCCGAGGGACAAGCTCTCGGCTATTGCTGGACTTGCGCGACTAGCTTCACTGTTCATGCCCGGGCCTTATCTATCAGGCATATGGGGATGTGATTTAGCTAACGGACTCCTATGGACCCCCTGCGAGCACCCCATGCAAGTGCCAGTGCAGAAAAGCGCAGCATCATGGTCTTGGGCCTCCACTGTTAGCCCTGTTGAACTTTGTTGCAGACAGATATCTGTTCGTGATAATTCATTCATCATCCTAAAGAAAGTACACAGGGACAAGAACGGATTGGAAGTTCTGATGATTGAGGGGCAGTTGTATGAATGCGTCGTTTCAGAATGGCCTGAACCGTATCATAAACCCCGTCGGGCGAAGGATGATACAGGGCAAGATCCAACAATTCCCAGATACAAGTTCTGCTTACCTTCAAATTATGATTCAGACTGCGAGCGAGGTGTGTGCCGCTATGATTGTATAACAGGCTCACATACGAAATTGTTTTTCTTGCCCCTGACGGGTTCAAGTCACTGCTGCGGGTTACTTCTCGAGAAGGATGATTCAGAACAGAGAACATATAGGCGACGCGGAATCGGGTGGCACTCGAGTCTTTCACAGAACACGGCCCATCTCGAACTCCTTCGCTTGGTTTGAAGAGACTAAGTTGGTGGCCTCTTGTTAAAACCTCATTTATATTCTTCTAATGTCGCCTAGGTATACCTTCTCTATTAAGGCGAATCCAAGAACCACTGCGGTACAAGTCATGGTCTGATACGTAGTAATACTTTGATAACAAAGCCCCTAAAGGCATAGATTTATATTGTTAGATAGTTCGGATATCTGCCTTAGGAAAATCTGCGGCTTGGTACCACAAGAAGCCTCGTTTATCGATGGCACGCGGATCCAAAATTCCGCAAGGCTATATTTCAACTACTGTAGCTCCTTATTCCAGCTTGACAGCATTTCACACGATTGGATATAAGCATCAGCTTCCTGAGACATCCTCGCTTTCAAAATATTGGAAGATAGGGTTCAGTCGAAAGATCGTCCCGCGGTCTGAGATACAGTAGGGAATCGACTATAGACAATCTTGAGCTCCCCATCGAGATGGTCCCAAGGAGACAGCACTGAACACTTCGTTCGCTAGAAGAGGGAACGAATCCGATAAGCGATGGTAACGCCCAGACATTGCTCTGCTGGCGAAGAGGAGTAGGGGTTCATATCTGTCTTGACAGAGGCGAGTTGATCAAAATTGTTGAGGTGAGAGAAGTAAACTCGAACCGACCGGGAATATCGAACATGCTCAAACAGCCTCCCAATCCATGGCATCAACAATAAAGTCCCAGTCAATCTCGGATTCATCCACTATAGCACTTTCGGAATTACCTTCGTTTTCCTCCTCCCCCCCCCCCCCCCCCCCCCCAAACTCCAGCGTGGCAGACTCGAGAGACCCCATTTCCTTTATGATCGTCTTCAATAAACTCTCCTCCTCCTGGCTGTAAGATCTTGTTTTGGGGGATGAAGTGCGCAGGTCCGTAGGCATATGACAGCTTTTGGCCAAAGTCCTGGTCTGGGCCCTTGTGGTGGGCCTTGTCGGGTTCCCGGCTTTCTCGCGGCTTCGGATGATGAGGACATTCTGTAAGACCTTAAAAGCAAGGCAAGGACGTCCACCTCATTTGCACCCCTCGTGTCCCTCTATCAGCCGCGTCAACGTAGCCAAGGTGACCACCTTTTGTTGCTAAACTGGCTATCCTCCGCTGGGGATTGCTTCACACACGTAGCGCTCATATATATATAGCTGTCAAAACTGGCATTCCGCACCGTCAACAACTCAACGTCAATTACAGAACCCTACTCTAACACTTCTTACACTTATCACCACAGCGCAATTTGATTTAGAATGAAAAATTCAAGAAGCAAAAAGACAGAAATAAAAACATACTGCAGCCGGAATTCGCTGGTGGTCACCCACCCAACTACTAACCGGCTGGCGTGTGGCTTGAACGCGGTCAATACCCGGGTGGGTGCCGTGCACAAATAGTAGACATTGCAAACACACATCGAATAAGGCGTAAAGAAATCTCCAACAACTATATCAGATCTTCTCCTAAAATGGACTGGTTCAAAGGCGAAAAACAGAGATCGAAATAATGATCGGCTCATGTTCTTAATTGGAGGGCAATGCCAAGTTAAAATGCATGTGATCAAAGCCGTCTTTAAGTGTTGCAGTGAAGATGGATACTCCCTCAAATTCCTTGAATCTCTGCAACTGATAGCCTGGGAGTAGCGCTAATAAACAGATATCCTTCTTCGTCGATTGCATAGTAAACTAGCGGCTTCGTCTAGACAGAATATCATCGAAAGTGGTATTTGACTCGTCGCTTCCAAAGAGCATTTGAATTCGTTGTTCCCGATTCCTCGTACTGAGGGCTTGATTGACATCGCTATCAGTTGCGCGTCGTGTCTGATTTTTAAAATAAGACAGCACGCCGTTTTGATTTTGGCACCCGTACGGCCCCGGCTCTCCCGATTGAATTGCTGCAGAAGCAGCGAGGATGTCGGCGGCGGATGTCAGCCATACGGACTCTGTAATCCACCACTGGCCATTCGCGTCACTAAAGCATTGCGGCATCGTGGCTTTGACTCTTGAAGAATAGTTAAAACTGGGGTGGGTTTTGATATTGGAAGAGGAATGAGCACTTATCTGGGAGACCTATCTGGTGGGTTAAGGGCCTATTTAAGCACGTCGCTTGCTGGCAACGTTTTATGTTAATAGATTTGTCCAACCCAGCACGCTTAGCTTTGGCTAAGACCCTAGCAATACATTGCAATTGGTCGAGTGCCAAGGATCTTTTAGAAGAGGTGCACAGTAGCTGGCGGGAATTAAGGCAACAAGAGGTCACGAATATGCCAATGCACCTCAAATGGCAAAGATTGCCATCCTTCACAATATCTAACCTACCACAGTATACACATTGATCTTAAAAGGAAAGTCTTATTTGCGTACCGCTGACTTTGATTTATCAATGTTCGTTTTTGTAAAGTGGGTGGGTTGCATCCGGCCAGCTAATCTATGCACGAGGCAAATTCTGGTGCTTGGTATATCAATGTGAGTGGTCAAAGATGTATCTCAACTGACGTGTACAATCCCTTTCTTTCACTCTGGCTCCCACCGACCACTGCGCCTTGGCTTTCAGCCTAACGCACTGGCCCTTTCATTTTACCGGAGACGCCGCTCGACCCGACACCCAGCTTGTAATGCCTGTCGCCCAGGAGCAGAACCACTGAATTTATGCAGGCCGCAGCGAAATCGTTTGATTTCGTGTCGATCAACCTACTCCTTCCGTATGAATGTGACTGTGCACCATGCCACGAAGCCCTCTAGGTCTCCCTCTGTCTCAGCGCCTTTCGTCTCTGATTCCTCCGCTGGCCTCCGTCACATCTGCAAAGTACCGGTATAGCCTCAACGCCGCATATTCGACTCCGTCCGCCCCAGCTGAGGTTGCATTGCACAGCCCTGGTGCCACAGAATGGCACCCGGTTGTTTAGTCACTATTACTGACTGCAGCGGCGTGGCGGTGTTCATTGGATGTCAGTCCATCAGTCTTTTGCCAGCATGGAGGGGCCCAAGGCTATCAGATGCACAAGCCTCGTCTGCACACACTATAAAGGGCTTTGAGAGCAGTGCTTAACTTGGTCCAGACCACCCTTACCATCACTCCGAAGTAAGTGTTTTCCCATCCTACGATTCTTTGAATAGCATCTAAATATCTCATCCAGGACAAAAATCACAGTCATACATTCACCAACGCCATTCGCTGCACTACCCGTAGTCGAGATGTGTAACTCTGGCGAATGCACTGGCAATGTGATAATGCACGTTACTTCCTGGGCCAACTGTACCGAAAGGATTTACAACGGCACAGGAGTGCAAAATTATGTCGGCATTCGAACCTACAGAACTTGTGGAGCACCTTTCGCGAAAACGTGGTGGGAGGAGTGCGACAAAATCATAATGATAACCCCGACAAAGACAACAAAATACACCGTCTGTCCTAGCCATCGGGCAAGACTCGAGTAGGTAAGTTTTCAAACAAGGAGTCGAGAGGCGACCACMTACCGATACTAACAGCAATCAGCTCGGTGCAAGGTCATGAAGTGTGCTTAATCACCTTGTTCCTGTGGCTGGTGCCTCAGGTATGAACACAAGTAAAACCTCACGAAAAAGCTCCCTTTGCCACCCTGGTGACGGTGTCGTCGCCACTCCGAAGGAGGTCTTAGTCCGATACAGGAGATCTCTAAAAGAGTGGGATGAATACGAGGGACTTTTCGGGCCGATCTTGCTTGTTTGAGGTCTATTAAACGAGTGTACGTTGCCTAGTATTTCGTAGTTGAATTGAGTTGAGTCGATTGAGTCCTTTGAACTCTGAATATATTGCTGTAACCGATCACGTGAGTGAACATTTATCAACACTCCTCCTGTGGTGCTGAATCCGTGCGCCGCTTCTCGTTGAGAGAGCTCCGGCGGCAACATATCTCACGATACCTTACCACATCACCTTCAAATGTTTAGCTCTAGCTCCCATGCGAGTCAAGAGTCTCTTTCTACCCCGCCTAAAGACCGGATAAGTGTAGAAAAGGAAACGTTACTACGGGAGGAACATCTCGTGATGACACCAGCTCCGTCGGATCATGGCAGCTTTGCTTCCATAGATGAGGCCACCCTTCAAAGACGCAAGAGGCCTTTTTCTGAGGCCATGGGAGGAAACGAGGGGTCCACACATCCAGGTGCAGCTCCCCAGGATCCCCCATCTCGGGGCCTGTACTATCAAGGCGGCAGCTGTCCGCCGTGTGTGCCGCCAATGCATACTTCCGCACTAAATCTTTTCGGAAGCCTGCTACCCCCGATGGCACAGCGTCCCGACTCTCCCGAGCCGCCGCAGGGTCACGCAAACCCAGTCACAGTCTCTCATGCCACTCTAGATATGTTGAACATGGCTGCAACCCGTCCACCACTCGGTATAGATCGATTTTGTCTATCAGATTGTGGACTCTGAACCGGCCACCAGGGTTTGAGCATCATAAATACCCTGGTACTCAGCAGTTTGTCCCTTCTCGCATTACCAGCGATGGCACCATGTCCATGCATCTCGCTCACGTTGCCTCCACGTTTGGCGGATATGATGGCCCACAGCTTCTCCAAGGATTTGCGCCACAAAGTATGCCGCCGTACAGTCCGATGCAGTGGACGCAGGGCCGGCCAATTCCTGGTCATGGAGGCGAATATATGGTTGGTACGCAGTTTCAAGAGTCGCCAGCGCCGGTTAGAAATAACGTAGAAGGGGAAACTTCGGGCTTTCAACGAGCGCGCCGTGGAAAGGTATGTAACTGGCCAGTTAGCGCAGCTCTACGAACGGTTCCTAACACCAAAAAAGGGACCCCTTATGGGGCTTGGTTACAGTATGATCGCTTATCGTGGAAAGAAGCAAGCGTGTTGGCTCAACTCCGGACTGGCATGACAAGACTAAATGGATATCTCCATCGGATCAACGTGGCAGACACGGATCAGTGTGCATGTGGACAAGCAAGAGAGACCGTTGAGCACTTTCTCTTTCGATGTCGGAAGTGGACTCAATATTTTCCAGCGAAGTTCCTTGCGCCACCTGCCAGTGAATTGCGCATACATAGGCGGACGGATCCGTTGGCCGAATATCGATCTTGAAGTTTTTGATGCTGCGCAGAAAGTTGTTCTGGTTGACATACCATTGCCCATTGTCGCTCACATAGGGATCTGAAGTAATAACACCCAGCCCAACGAAGCTCGATGCAGCCAGGATCGTGGGCACGTTCAGTGGCTAGCAGCCGTTAGAAATGCTTACCGAAGGACTGTGCGTGGGACTTACATCACCTATGAACTGGGTATTATAATATTGAATAATAGCCGAGCTAACCAGGTACGTGCCTCCTAGAAACCAGATTACTGCAGGGTACCTGGTGCTCGAGCCGCAGTCGGCACCGCAGCGCCCTCCGTCTGAAATTGCTCGGTTGATAGGCTCCGTGTCGTCTGTGACCCCGTCACCCTTGGCTCCGTAGTCGMGAACATTTCTCCAAATCTAGTTTATTGTCTTAGTATTTGCGACTGCGAAGAAACTGTGGAGGAGCGTCGAAATACCTTGTAGCCGGTCGGGGCGAATGGACTATGGCCATTCTTTTCCATGTGCGGCATCCAATACAGAGAAGGGGCGCGCTTTTGAAGTCCCAAGTTACTCTGTTGGTCAACCAGCGACACATTCACATTTTCGGCGAAAGACTGGAAGTCATAAAGGCCATTCGACTGAACAAGAGCCTGGGGCGGGGTATTAGTCTGTCGCTTTCCTTGACCGTATTTGCGGCGAATATCAACAGCTACATTGCTGTGATTTCCACTAGGCGTGTTATCGGCAGATTCTGCAACAACCTTAGCCGCTCTAGCTAGCTCGGGTGGGATAGTATAAGCTCTGTTGCCACGGGTCGTGGCAGAGGGAGCATCGCGTTTCCGAAGACGGGCATTCTCTACCGCTTCAGAACTATAGTCTAGCGGTGGAGCCGTCGCAATCGATGCCTGCTGAGCATGAGTCCTTTGTCACAAATGCCTCGCTGACTCGAAGGATCTATACCTTTTTCTGGCGAGGCTCCCGGAAAGCGTATTGGTTGAAATTGGGATTCTCCACGCGGTTCTTGTTGACTTGAGCCAGAACTGCCAGAGCATTCTTGACCATGGTCACGGAATCATCAGAGTCGTTGCGCATTGATTGAGCTTCGTTGTTCCGACGATCATGATGATGACGATGATGCAGATGGCTGTGATCGGCCCGTGCCGTGGATATCAGCAGAATGTGGAGGATCAACAAACAGAGCGACAGGGTCTGAAACCCTAACCGATTGATTCCGATCAACCTCATCTTCAGCAAATACGCCCAACTTCAAGAGAAAAAATGTCTTCCTTGCTAAGCACTACAATCAGGGTCAAGGGGTTCTCTTGAGCATAGATTCCCTGCGTTCTCGACTACGCGGACGATCACTGGGGATGGCCGGAACGGAAAGACAGTAGTAATCTCAAAAGTGAACCCGCAATCAATGGCAGACTCTACCGCAGCAAAGTTTTCACTGGATTGATAAGTTCATCTCTCTCAGAGTGTTTTTTTACCCCTGACTTCTTGATTCCCCGACGCTCATAGGGCCGGACGTGAGACAGCCAAGCAACGGACTGTGTTGAACTTGGCCTTACTGCGATCTAACGAACACTTGTTCCTTGGCAAACACTACCGATTGCCAAGCCTGTTGGCGTTTAAACCTACTCCAGTAAGACCATCAGTAAGCGAAATAAGGTCTTCCCAGAATGCATGAGCATGTGGAAGATGTTGCTGGGATCATGAGTCGGTTTTGCATTCGGAAACGAGCACAATCATACCACCAGCAGCCCGACGGGTAGCTATACGAGGGATGTCCTTAGAGCGACTAAGAAATGATAGCAGCCTACTACCTCGCTTCTCTTGGCATATGAGATGCATCCGCCAGAGCCGGTTACTGGAGGAGCGACGAAGGCACCCGGTACTTGCTACTGCCTCGCTTCTCCTAGCGTCCTCAGGGGAATTCGTCGTAGCTCGCTGAACGACATTAAATCCCTCAATATGTGGACCACGTTGGATGGGTCCATTGCCTGGACCAAGACCGACGCAGTTCAAGTAGGGAACAGGCAGAAGCCGAGCAGAGCGGACTGCCATTCTCAATTGGTGAGGTGGAATTAGACGGCATCCCCCTGTTAAACATATTACTACACTAATGCGAGCGGCCGTTGCGGTTATCCATTACTTGAACCATCCTGCCGTCAACTCCCACATGGCAAGCTCGCTAAATGAAGTTCGTTCAGGATTAGGCCTAGCCAATAATAGGTGGGCGGACCTCAGCAACTGCAGAGAGTATGCACAAGAGTGGTGGAGTATATGGGTCAGGGACTATTTCCATCAAGTAGGCCTTTATACTCATAACTGGGTCGACAGATGGGCCACGGCAATGGACAGGTACTGGGCAACGCGGACAGGACTTACAGCAGTGCAGGTACACGAGGCTCTTCGCACTTTAAGGGACATGAATACAACCATACACCAGGATGATCTAGATTGGATTATAAATATTAGCATTAACAGTGCGTGGTGGAATAGACCTACCTTGGCATCGTGCCAAGTCTCTTGGCAAGGCGGACGGAAAGTATAAGTATCCGCTCAATTTCCAATCCAAACCCTCCCTCCTATTCTAGGCTTCATTAATTGCCCGGTCTAGGGAATTGCTTTCTTCCGATTCCTATCTCCCTATATTTAATTACAAAGAACATGGTGCCCACTCCTTCCCGACGTCTCATAGATTGGCTTCGACTCCCTAAAGCACCATCCTGGGGTTTCGTGATTTACCGCACCACATACAGCCCTCAATCCTACCGCCAATTTCCCCGAATCATCGAACTAACAAACTCCCTCATAAAACGGGAAATCCTCCACGAATATGCAACGTCTAAAGACTCCTATGCCGGACCCCCCGAAGAACTCAAAAATGGCTACCAGCTGATCTGCGCCAAACACCGCCCCATCATCATCGAAGACCGCACCCAGCTCAATGGCATCTCGCTCCACGGCGTGCGATCCCACTACGAATCCTGGATCGACGACTACGCCAGCGGTAGAGGAAGAGAGAACTATAACTGGGGCTACTCTACGCAGCGCCACGTGTGTCTTGTCGTCGACGAGGAGGTGTGTCAGGCCTTAGAAAACGCTGATACGAAACTCATCAGAGAGGGCGCGGGGGAGTATTTAAGAAAGTGGTGGGTGAAGGCCGTTGAGCCTTGGCCGGAGATTGATGAGTGGGAACGGGAGGCCACTGGCTTTGATGGGACGATGAAGGTCTCTGTTTTTTCGCTTTTTTTCTTGTGGACTGATATGGACGATCCGTACCCGATGTGGATGATGAGAAGGGATGCGAATGGGTTGTATACTGGCTGAAATGATACCTAATCAAGGGTTAGATAGTACCGTACGGAATATGCAAAGCAAAACCACGGCTTATGAAGTGGCAGCAGAGACTGTATTTATGGCAGAGACGCTGGCAGAATAATTGCGATCATGCCTGGAAGACTTAAAATGACGGTGGACGAATGCACCACAGCGTACAAAGAAGTCGCCGAGAAGGCCTTCACCGCTAAACACACAGTTTCTTTCCCTGGCTCTCCCTGGGGTGCTTCCTCTGCGACAGCACTGGAGTCCGCTATGAAACATGTCATACGAAAGTACTGCGTCGAAGAAGACTGTGCTGCCCAGCGGAGGCAAGGCATTTCCACTCTTGAGACCTGTCCACATAGCGAGGAGCTTCTCCGATATGATGGTTGCGTTAGGACGTATGTCTCTTTGGGCTGGAATTTCAGTCAAGAATAGTGTAAAGAAAGTGTAACTGACATATATTAGTGACGTTTTGGCGATAACGAAGGACGTATCGATGCCCGGTCAACTTTATTCAGTACCTATGACAGGACAACAAGCTTTCGTGATTGCTCTATTGGCAAGTTGCAAKGGCAGCATCTGCTGCGACAACATTCTTCAAGTCCACCAAGTGTGGGCGCGATGAGATCGAATTCATTGATGCTGGTTTCGGATATAATAATCCATGCGGGATTCTCATTGAGGCAAGGGAACAATTTCCCGGGTCTTCACAGTTACAAGTACTCAGCATCGGCACGGGACTCGGCGGCATGGTCACAGTGAAACACAAGCGGATGTCTATTCTCAACGCGGTGAAGAAGATGGCAACCAGCTCCAAGAAGGTTGCAGACCAAGTGGAAGCCTTGTTCGATGAAGAGGGCCATTACTATCGGTTCAATATGGATCGCGGCCTTGAGGATATCACCCTTTCAGACTGGAAAACGGACAGTCGGATCTCTTCACATACCCATAACTTCCTGAAGGAACAGTATAGGATGGTTGACAAATGTGCAGGCTGCTTCGCCGCTTCCGCTTGCGCAGGCAAATGCGAGAAGGTTCTCAAACACAGCAGCAATGTAAATGCGGTGATGTTCTCTCCAAATAGTCAGCAGCTCACATCTACCTCTCAGACATGAGAGTGAGGATCTGGAATGCCAAATCCGGAGAATGTGAACAGACCCTTGGTCATACTAGCCAGGTTGAAGCCGTTGCCTGGGCACCTGATGGTCGACGACTAGCATCTGCGTCTTGTAACAAGTCTGTGCGTGTGTGGAACTGCTTTACTTGGCAGTGCGAACTAGTACTTCAGGGGCACGGGGACGATGTTAACTCTGTTTCTTGGTCTGGAGACAGCCTGCGACTCGCGTCAGCCTCGAGCGATAGATCTATACGTGCGTGGGATCTTGCTAAAGCCAAATGCACGCATACCTTGTACGGCCATACCGATGAGGTCTGCGCAGTAGCATTTGCTTTGGACGGCCAGTGGCTGGCATCTGGCTCTTGGGACCGGACGGTTCAATTGTGGAACCTGTCGCGAGGTTAGTGCTGTGGCTTTCTCTCCTGATAGTCACTCCCTGGCATCTGTATCTTGGGATAGGGCCGTGAAGGTTTGGGATATTACTAGAAGTAGAGCGCATATTTTCAGTGGCCATAATGCGGAGGTCCAAGATGCGGCTTCTCTGCAGATAGCAATCAGCTGGCGTCTGCCTCCTGGGATAAGACGGTAAAAGTGTGGAGAATGGAACAACAGGATATACATAATCAGGAGTAAGGTTGCAAAGCCAAGGATCCTCGCAGACTGGGTGCTGCTCCTCTGGTAATTTCGCCGTTACCAAATTCTTGTCCCTTCTGATTCCTTTTACTTCGATGATATATTTGAGTGCTAATATGCTGAGTTTGGAGCCTTTCCTCGATCTGTTGCTGTTCGCCTTTATATCGTTGTCGCTGCTCTTTTCGTCATAGCCATTGATTACAGTGTTGTGGGTGCTGCTCATCTGTCTGAACTTCTTCGGCTTGTTTCTATCATCTCCTCGCTTGCTGGAAGTAATACTCTATTCGGTCTATTGAACCTGATTATATGGATACAATGGAACTGATGTGGAATAATGGTTGGTAAGTAATACTCTATTCTACCTATGCGGGATAATAGGCTGTGAGTAGTATAGAATCCTATGTTTAAAACATAGACTACTGTATTATCTATGAATAATAGCCAGTAAGTAATACTTCATTCCATCTGTTAAACCTGATATTACAAACTTTGATCCCTTTAGTAAACGAAGCTCTCTCAGAGGTATCATCCACAAACCGCCTTCCCACACCGGAATTTCGCTTCCTGCCTATCAAACTTGAAGAGATTAGGCTCGATCAACCGCGTCTGGCCACACACTTGGCTATCGAAGGGTTGAGGAGTAATTTTTTCTTTACTTTTCTTGACGTTGGGAGATGCCTTGATATGGGTTTTTGTCTTATTGAGTTAGATTTTCCCATACTATCATGCGAATGCAAAGGCTATATTAGATAAAAATGCTTCGTTGACTTAGCAGGACTTAGCAGCCCTTAACCTGCTGTAGAGTATAGGCAGGCCTTGCTCTATCGTTGCTCTTTTCTGTTGTTAGATTCTTCTCTGCTGTAGAGACGATTCCGTGCAAGGCTCCTAACTGCAATATGATCACAATATTCAATGACTGCCTGTCACGAATGGGGCTCTCCGCCTACATAGGAACCAAGCTATTATATATAGCTCGCTGGCAATATATAACACTCACACAGGGCTAACGGCTCGTCTACGATAATAACTCACTAATGTTTCGCCAAAATTGTGAACTCTATTTCTGTTCCCAGTCAATTCAAATTTTATTTCACTGTAGATGAAGGAGGGCATTATTTTTATATTTGGATCGCTTGTGCCGCACCTTCTTTGGAGTATAGAACACTCTGTAGCTTAGGGTCGGATGGCAAACTTTACCATCTGAGCCATTGTTGAAACCTGCTGATTCTGCATAACGTCACAGACTGTGATATACATCTCTGGATAAGATTAACCATGTTCAAAAGATCAAAAACATACAACAGCCGGGATTCGCTGGTGGTCACCCACCCAACTACTAACCGGCCGGCGTGTGGCTTAAGTACGGCTGAGCGGACGGGAAGCCCTGTTTTCCACACCCTGTGGTCGTATGTGCTAGATACCAAGAAGAAATAATACATGTATGCACTTGAGCATACTGAGAACCAACTCTGTATCTCTCCATCGACGTCGTCGAAGCATGTCCGAAGGAGAATAACCTAACGTCACATTCCCTGGTGACCAGGCATGTCTCCTACTTCAGCGACCGTAACCATGCCACGGGACGCCTCACTTTGTCTAGCTCAGAGCCCGTCAAAGTGTCTGTGTTGAATCCTGGTTCATGAGGACTCGACAAAACCGGCTCGCTCGATTCTGCCATGCTTCTGTTCGGTGTTATGCCCCAAATAGGCGGGGTCTATGGAGTACGGTAGTCACTACTCCTCCTCAGTAATGAATATCTATGGGGTATCTAACCTGGAGACAGTCTGGACCCCAGACTAGACATTTCTATGGCAAAAGCCAAAAGGATTGGCATGGCGTCAATGACCCGGCTTCGGACGACGGTGCGTTTTGGGACGATAGTGCAGGTGGCGGATCCACCTCGCCCCCTCATGGTTCGTGGCAACTCTTGAGATTCATCAGTTAAACCGGTGCGACCCAGTATCTATCCTCTGGCCCTACTCCGTAGTCGCCGTTAGTGCCAGACGAGAGATCAGAAGGGTGATACCACATACCAGTTATACCGTACCAGGATGGAACACCAGGTAAGTCTGAAGGAGCCAGCGGCAGAGTCGATGATTACTGATAGGAAGCGATTCCCTTCATGGTCCCCGATTGCCCGGCCCAGGATAGCCGGTCGACCCCCTGCGAGTCAGCGCCTGGTCTCTATTTGTACGTAGTAGGACTGTAGTACCAATCTAGCAGACTGCCACAGGGTTAGGTTTATTGCTATTTGCTCGCATTGATTTGCATGCTGCGGGGATATCCGGAGTTTTACCGACATTTGTTGCGGCACTGTCGTTGTGTTTTACGCTTACCGTGAGGAAATAATAGCTAAGACTATTCCTGGGCGCTGGGACGCAGATTGAGTTTGGACGGTGTCGATTCGGTTCTTGGCCGGGTGCACCATTGGCTCAGGCTGGTTGGGCCAGATCAAGGTTGATCCACAGATTTGACTTCACTAAGCATAATCAGGAGAAGTTAGAAATCTATTCAGGGTTTCAGGTCGATTGTGGATTAGCATACGCAGTATGGGTCTTTTGAAGCCCAGCAGTGCGTCCAATGTACATGCTGTATGCTACGGTATTACACGGAGTAATACGTATTATTATGATCATTCTGATCTCCTGCGGCAAACGTCCGTCATGATTGTGGTACACCGTTGAGGCGCCGAGTTAAACTGCGCTGACAGCGGGAAATCCGTTCATTCGTCTTGAGATGGCTGGTTCAGGTGCGGAGAGAGAAACGGTAGAACAGTCTCGACTCTTCCGGGTCAAGGACCAGTCGAGGCCCCCTCAGTGCATACTCCGTGGTCGGTACAGTATCTCAAGATTGATGAATCCTGAACAAAAATGCCTAAGAGAAGAACAATTTGTCAGATACGACGAGTCAGTTGAAGTTGAAGTGACGCAGCATCGAGATTCTCAATAGTGCCATCACATCGCATTGCATTTCCGCCAATCCTAGAGGATGAATCTCACGGGTGGCAATCAAATTGATTCTCTACCATTGGCGATATCCAGCCCCCAAGCCTGAAGTCTGCGCGGATGTACTACCGGGGACCCGGACTAGAAGAGAGCAACTGGTCATCGTGACGGCGATGATGACGAGAATGGTCATGCCTTCCGCCCTGAGGCTCGCGGCACTTCTCCGAGCATAGGCGAGGAAAGAGGTGGAACGGCAGCCGCAGACTCACCATACCAAGTAGCAGTATTTGGAATCTCAGGACACAAAGGCCTGCCCCTTCCCGACGACTCTTCCTTCGTCCCCAGAGCCCTGTACGTAGTTCAAGATGACCCAGGATAGCTACAGACGCCGACACACACGAGTTCTACAATCCCCATACGCAAGGTGGATGGCCTCTCTGGTAGAGTGGAATGTCGGCACAGGATTGGTAGCACTGGGAGCGTGAGGATGTAGTGTACTCCGTAGTTCGTGATGGATGCGACGTCAAGTCCCAATGGGGAAATTCGAGCTCTCCCGTGTCGGCGCTTGGGCGTATCGGGAACCACATGGCCGCAATGGTCCCCGAGCGGGTACAAACTCTGTCATGAAGCCCGAGCAATGTTTGTCTTGTTTGTTTACTATGGATTGGGGTCCGTATCTTAACATTGGCTGGACTACTCCGTACTTTACGCATACTACAGCTCTAACTCATTTTGTAATGATATCGTTTACCACGGCGTGAGTATCTGGAAAATGGTTCCTTAAGGATAGATCCAATATTGCTACGTCATCCTTCAGAGATCAATAATTCCATTCGTTCTGATTGAGTGTTGAAGTGAGATCGTAGATACAGATCATCTCGATCATTCCCGTTGAACCTTTACCCGACCCTGAAGCCCTGATACCTTCGTACCAACCATACAGACATACGTGATCGAAGCCCCGTGGATACCACTTCGGAGTACTCCGTACTAGCCACTACTTCATAGACTGTATAGGCGCTCCAATAGTCTGCCGACTGCTCCTCTGCCATTGCACGGCATGATATGTAGGATTCGTGCAATGATCGACGATGGTTACGTGGTGTCAGATCGCAGTCTGAGCGTAGATTGATGATCGCTTCATGATATCTGCGTTGTCAAATCTTCAAGTGATTGCAGAATCTAGATGATTTGTACTGTGATAACTGATAATCACGCAGCTTCTTTTACCCTTTTTGTCAATTGTCACAGAGATGACATGTCGGGACAACTTCCCTAATGTCAAGTCTATTGAAAACTCAAAAATCTCAAATCCTTGTCGACATGAAAATCTCCTCGTACCGGAGAATCCATCTTATATTGCTCCATACCCGACTTGGTAGGTCCGTAATGAGTCTCGCGGCGATCACGCAAGCCCTGT